TGACCGACCATGAGTTGACCGACCATGAGTTGACCGACCATGAGTTGACCGACCATGAGTTGACCGACCATGAGTTGACCGACCATGAGCCAGACAGATCATGAGCCAGACAGACCATGAATCAAATCGACCATGAGCCAGATCGACCATGAGCTGACCGACTATGAGCCGACCGACCATGAACCAGACAAACCATGAGCCAGACAGATCATGAGTCAGACAGACCATGAGCCAGATAGACCATGAGCCAGACAGACTATGAGTTGACCGACCATGAGCTGACTAGACATGGTTTATCTGACGATGATCTGTCAGATCATGAGCCAGATAGACCATAGCTTCACCTTGAGCCATGGGCTTAAGGAAGTCAAGCAATGTTGTGATCAAACCCGAAGCAACCACTTTCGATGAAAACAACAGAGGAAACAGCAGCGACAGGATGCAAACGAGGCAGGAATCCATTGAGTACACTCACCTTGCTGATTATCCATGATGATGATGAATTAACGATGATGAAATGACAGAAGGGATGGGAAGGGTTGCGGATGAAGAAAGGTGGGTGCGGGGGAAAGAGGAAGAGGAAGAGGAAGAGAAGACGCGATCGAGATCGAGCGAAGCCCTGGGTGATTATTTTCCAGAATCGCAGGAACGAGGGTGACAGTACTGCAAATTGCAGGGAACGAGAGGGTCCCAGTCTCCCTCTCCTACCCTTTCGGGATCATTCTGGCTTCTACAGGCTCCCCAGGCTGTTTGAAGCCCCGTGAAGATCGGGAAGTATCACCCCATGACCCTAGGATCTGACAGCCATTGGCCATCTCGAACAGCAGCATTGCGAACATAAACACCATGAATAGAAACTGGAGCTTCAATTTCCCTTTTCAGCACTTACCATGATGTGTTTTATAATCTGAATAGACAAAGAAGCTCAATTTGCAGGCTGAATTTTCTTCTGAGAAACAGACAAATCAACCAGACAATGCCGGATAGCCACGGCCAACCTGCATTCAATTAACAAACATTACAACGAGCTGTGCAGCAAGATCAGCCTTAAAGCCCATTGAGCAATAAAACATACAAAGAGCAATCTTAGCTTGGATATTTGGAAGGATTTCATTAATTCATAGGTGTCATTAGATACATGCTGAGGACGGCAAGCCGGCGTCTCGAAGCTCTGTCGAGAGGCTCAACGCAGGAACAACATGATAGACGACAAAGGGAATTCATAAACAAAGCACACAGCAAAGGAAAATCGTAAATGGTACAGGGGAATAATCGCATGGGTTGTCGGCCGGTTGTTTTTAGGTTTGATATTGGTTATAGTTCGGAACGGAAAAACTGAAAGTCCGAGTCGCTTATCGGCGCTAGTCTCGGCTATCGGCAACCGAAGTGGGCCCGTGCACGCGGCCCGGCTGGTTAATCGAACATCACCCCCGAGCTCGCTTCAAGCTCTCAAAAAGCAGAACGCCAGAGCATCCACGCAGGGACTGCAAGTATGGCCATCCAGAACAGCGTCCTGATCATCACAATCAGTCAGTATAGAGCAAGGCTTATGCACTGCAGCACGATGGCATGTAGCAGGATTTTGACAGAGGCATGAAGGGTAGACAAGCTAGCACAGGAAGGTTTCCACTTTAGTTTGAGGCCTTCTTTCCACGACGGAACGGTGAGAGGATTGCACCAAAGAAGCCACCAAACACAGTGCGCAGAATTGCTTTGAGCCAATTGTCTGTGGCACCATTCAGAGAAACAGCTGTCACTGACCGGTTCTGGCTCGGCGGGCGAGCGTCCTCATCGTTGTTCTTGGGAACAAGGCTGTCAGAAGGCTTGTCGGCCTTGGCAGCTTCAGGTCCCTTGTTAGCCTCGGTGGGCTGAGATTCGGTAGCGGGGGCAGATGTGGTGGACTCGTTCGCCGCGGTGGTCAGCTGGTCGGTAGACGGCTGATTGAGCTTGTTGAGCAAGGCATCACGGTCTCCAGCAAGAGCTGCAAGGGCGGGATCAGTTTCGAAGGACATTGCGGACGGTTGCTGCGAGTTATAGAACGGTGCTGGCTTACTGTCTGCGGACTGGGTCTCGGTGGGTTTCTTGTCAACGGGTGCCTGTTGATCGGTGGAGGCATTCTCGGACTTGGATTCGTGGTGAGAGGCAACGGCGGCGGCAGCTCCGACACCAGCCAAAGCAGCGGCGGCGGCACCAGCCCCGAGCACTTCAGCGCTTCGGTCGGTGTCTTCCTTTTGCTCCTCCTTGGGTGCGTCGGTGCTCTCGGGAGCAGCGGTCTGGTCTTCCTCGACCACGGTCGGTTCAGCCTTGGGAGCCTCAGTAGTTTCTTCGGCAACGACTTCAGTCACAGGCTCGTCGATAACAGTCTCGACGGCAGCGACCTGAGCAGGAACCTCGACAGCCGATGCTTCCACGGGTGCAGGCTGTTCAGTAACAGAAACCTCAGCGACAGGCTCCTCAGCAGCGACAACAGTCTCAGCAACGGGCTCAGCGACGGGCTCAGCGACGGGCTCAGCGACGGGCTCAGCGACGGGCTCAGCGACGGGCTCAGCGACGGGCTCAGCGACGGACTCAGCAACAGTCTCAGCGACGGGCTCAGCAACAGTCTCAGCAACGGGCTCAGTAACGGGCTCAGCAACGGGCTCAGCGACGGGCTCAGCAACGGGCTCAGCAACGGGCTCAGCAACGGGCTCAGCAACGGGCTCAGCAACGGGCTCAGCAACGGGCTCGGCAACAGTCTCAGCGACGGGCTCAGCAACGGGCTCGGCAACAGTCTCAGCGACAGGCTCAGCGACAACAGTTTCAGCGACCGTGACAGGCTCCTCGACCTTTTCTTCGGTCTCGGAGGGCTCTTCAACAGCAACAACCTCCTTTGCGACAGGCTCCTCAGAAGCGACTTCAGCAGCCACGGGCTCTTCGATAACGACCTCCTTGACGACCTCCTCGACAGGAGCCTCGACAACGGAATCAGCAACAGTATCGGTTACAGCATTGGCGGGTTCTTCCACGGCAGCAGCCTGTGCGACCGGGGTCTCTTCGACTGCGGGGGCTTCCACAACAGGCTCAGCCACAATCTCAGCCTCAACCTTGACGGGTTCTTCAGCAACAACCTCAGCAACTGGGGTAGGCTCTGCGACCACATCCTTGACCTCGGCGGTGGTCTCCGTAGCAGGGGTCTCAGCCGCAGTCTCGACCGCAGTCTCAACGGCTTCTTCGATTGCCTCACTGGCATCTTCGACCTTGGCTTCGACCTCCTCCTTGGATTCGGCAGCAGGTTCAGAAGCCACCTCTTCGGCAACAGCGGCAGTAGCAACGGCCGCGGCCGCAGTTGCGACGGCAGCAGTCTCGGTGGTGGAAGCATCGATGGGCGCTTCGGGTTCACCAGCCTCAGTCTGTACAACCTCCGCCACGACCTTGTCCGCAACCTCCTCGGGCTTGAGCTCCTCGGGCTTGAGCTCCTCGGGCTTGAGCTCCTCGGGCTTGAGCTCCTCGGTAGCCTGGACAGACTCGGTAGTTTCCACCTTTTCAGTGGGTTCTTCGGAGACGGCAGGTGTGTCGGCGGTCTCGGGGGCTGGCGCAGCAGCGTCAGAAGTGGTCTCGGCAGCTTCAATGGTAGCAGGCTCCTCGACGTTCTTCTCCGCGGTGGCCTGCGCGGCCTCGACCTCTTCGACAGCAGGGGTCTCAGTCACCTCCTTGATTTCAGGCTGAGAAGCCTCGACGGAAGGCTCGACGGCGGCAGTAGTGGGCTCGGTTTCGCCCGGGACGACACTGGCATCAGCGCTGTTCTCAGCCTCCACAACTGGCTCTTCAATGTTCTTCTCAGCCACAGGCTCCTTGGTAGGCTCGACATTCTCAACGGCCTTGGGCTCCTCGGTGGTGGGTTCGGCAGGAGTTTCCTGAACAGGCTCAGATGCTTCAACGGCGGTCTCCACGGCTGGGGTCTCAGCAACAGGCTCAGAAACCTCGGGTGTCGCCTCAGTCTGCTCGGCGGTGGTTTCGGGTGCAGATTCAACGACTGCGGGTTCTTCAACGGCGGCCTCCTCGGCCTTGGTCTCCTCGACCTTGGGTTCCTCGACCTTGGGTTCCTCGACCTTGGTCTCCTCGATCTTGGGCTCTTCAGTCTTGGATTCCTCCATGGCGGGCTCCTCGATCTTGGTCTCCTCGATCTTGGGCTCTTCAGTCTTGGATTCCTCCATGACGGGCTCCTCGATCTTGGTCTCCTCGACCTTAGTCTCCTCGATCTTGGGCTCTTCAGTCTTGGATTCCTCCACAGCAGGCTCGTCAAGCTTGGGTTCTTCAGCCTTAGATTCCTCAACAGCGAGAGCCTCGGTCTTGGGCTCTTCGACAGCAGGCTCTTCAGCCTTGGCCTCCTCGGCCTTAGGCTCTTCGATCTTGGGTTCTTCAGCCTTGGCCTCCTCGGCCTTAGGCTCTTCGGCCTTGGGTTCTTCAGCCTTGGTCTCCTCGACCTTGGGTTCTTCCACAGCAGGCTCCTCGATCTTGGGCTCTTCAGTCTTGGATTCCTCCACAGCGGGCTCGTCAAGCTTGGGTTCTTCAGTCTTGGATTCCTCCACGGCGGGAGTCTCGGTCTTGGGCTCTTCAGCCTTAACCTCCTCGACCTTGGGCTCTTCGACAGGCGCGGCAACTTCAGCAACTTGCTCAGTAGCCTGCTCAGTGGGCTTTTCCTCAGCGACAATCTCTGGGACGGTCTCTGCGCCCTTTTCTTCCTGAACAGACTCGACGGGAGTCTCGGGAATGACTTCGGTCTTCTCGGCCTCAACCTTCTCTGCAACAGGCTCAGCCTCAGTAGAGTTCGATTGTTCGGGAGTTTCGACAGGAGCCTCAGCGATTTCAGGGGTCGCCTCAGCCTGTTCCTCGGCCTTGGGCTCTGTAGCAGCCTCGACGGCTGGGGTTTCGACAGCAGGGGTGGTCTCCACAGCCTTGGCTTCCGCGAGGTCAGAAGCGGGAGCTTCGGCGACAGCCTCAGGCTCGGGGACGGTTTCGGTCTCTGTGGGAACCTCCGCCTTGGGCTCTTCGGTGGAAGGCTCCACGGTTTCGGCCACTTCGGCCTTTTCGGTGGTCTCGGGGGCTTCGACCTTGGGTTCCTCTGCTGCTGGCTCTGTAGCGGGGGTCTCGATGGGCTCAGCAGCCTCTGTGGTCTTGGACTCTTCCGCTACAGGCTCGACTGGCTCTGCGACAGTCTCGGGCACAGGCTCGGGCACAGGCTCGACGGCCTTGGGCTCTTTTGGTGTCTCCGCGGCCTTGGGCTCTTCGGTTGTTTCGGTGGGCTTCTCGGTCACTGGCTCCACGGTCTCAGCGGGAGCATCTTCCACTGCCTTCGCATCGACGGTTTCGGGGGTCGACTCGGTGGGCTCGGTCTGCAGTGGCTCGGGTTCGGTGGACTCTGCAGGCTTCTCGGTCACTGGCTCGGTCGATTCCTCTTTGGAGAGCTCGACGGACTCAGGCTCGGTTGCCTCAGTCGCCTCAGTTGCCTCGGACTTCTCTGCCTCGGTCTCTTCCGGTGCGATGGAGCTCACGCTCTGCTTCTTCTGCTGCTTCTTGGCCTTCTTCTTGGCTCTCTCCTTGGCCTTCTTCTTCTCTGCGGCGGTCATGGGGACCTCGGGCTCGGCCTCGTCGACCAGAGTGGCGGTCGAGTCGCCGAGGTCCTTCTCGACGATGGGGTCGGTGGGGATCGCGGTTTCCACGCTCGCCATGTTTTTCGTTAAAGTCGTAATAGATTAGGGGTATCACAGATCACAATTTGACCAGCAAAGATGAACACAGTGCAAAAACAATCGCTCAGCAAATTGGGGATGGTATGGCGGAATGGGGGGGAAGGGAAAAAATCTGAAGCTCCATGTACAACGGTGACGGCACAGGGTTGGCACAGAAACAACAGTGCTCCGTAAAAGGACCAGTGACGAGTAGCAGCCCATCAGCGACGCCCAATCCCCACTACTGTACTCCGTACTTATGTACCCAACATGCGGTGTGGGTGCCGAGGCTACCGGGTTTTCCTTGTCCATTCTACCATTTACACTCAAATTGATATCTGGCTTCAAAGAAAGATACTACCTACTCCGTAGGATGCTACACACGAGACAAAGAGCCAAACAAAAACCAACGCGAAATGCAAAAAACGAAGAACACGAAAAACGAAAAAACGAAAAACGAAAAAAAGAAAAAAAAAGGCGCTAACAGAAAACAGTGCAGGCCCCACTCGGCCCCCACCAATGAAAAGGGGGGGATTCCTGACTCACCTCCGATCATCCATGGTTGGCATGGGCCCATTGTGGACATTCGGGTATTTATCATCATATACGGAGTATGCTATACAGTATACAGTATGAGTATATTGAGTATGACCTCGTAGTATATGAGTGCTGTAGTAGTATACTAGTAGAGTAGCATCTCCTTTGGGCTGTTTATTGACAAGCTCGTGCCACCGCTCGAGGCTAACTTTGCTAGCTTCAGTCCGGCTAGTCTGCATTGGCACTGGCACTGCAGATGGCGTGCGTCCACGGCCATAGCTCCATCACAAGACCTGCAAAACATTTCTCAACTGAACACCATCCTTACTCCATACTTAGGTACAGTGATAATAGTACTCGGAATCTAAGATATCGTGCATGCTTGTACATGCTGTTGCCGTCACATGTCACGCCTTGAGCCTGAGGCTAGTCATTGCATGGAGGGACCTTGTTGACCAGGGCTCCAACCTAGAGTCCCAAAAGGCAGAAAGCCCCAGAAGGCAGACGGCTGACGGCAACCATGAGTTATCGGGCTATCGTGCTTGATGTGAGCTGGCTTCCAAGTTTCTGGTCCATCCATTCTAACCTTCTCAGGGTGGAAGGTTTCACAGATATCATTATCGTCCAATGAGATATTCGGTCCAAGTGACCAGTTTTCTTGTCGATCATGCATACACAATGTTTATGCCGTTGAAGCTGAGTTTGGACTTGATCGGCATGGATTCTTTCAAGGTTTTAACCTTGGAAACCATTGATCACGAACTCGGGACACGGCAACTTCAACCTTGGAAGCGACTGAAGTTTCCAGTGTTGCGAGGTCTTGACCGTGGATCAAGAGTATAAATCACAGGTTGATCTTCTCACCAAAATCATACCCGTTGACGCCGTTCGTGTACTACCTAGGTACAGTAGTATACCTGCTCCGTACCTAGGTACTGTGTATATATCCACCTGGACATGGATAGATATATATGAAAATCAGCGAATGTCTAATCAATTCTGTCATATAATTTGGCGTCGGTAGATTCAGAGATACCTAGGTATATCAATCACCAACTCGGACTACTAGTATATGGGGTACTGGTAGGCGCAACGGCGTCTGTGTTGTCTTCATCCCTTCCAATGTTTACACGCGCTTACACGGAACTGAACATGTGGGGAGCTCGGAGCCTCCGGCAATTGATCGGCATCCCGCGGACGTCACCAATTCACGAGAACACAAGCGGGGCCAAGTGTACAACAGTTTATGTAACACTAGGTTAGAGAAGATTTATAGGGTAAGATGCCCCGAGAACAGTGGAGTCAGTGAATAAATATCAGAATTCCAGGAACATCTCACTACCAACGATAACAAATAGACATGATCAAGACAATAAGTACACGCAAAATGATAGAATGGCATGGCAGTAAGATCAATTACCGAGATCTGTTCAGCTTTAAGAAAACCAAAAATTATTATCGTCGCTAATGGTTGCAATTTAGCCAAAAAGTACCAATAGTTCTGGTTCATACGCGATCGGCAACGGGTGCGGGAAAACTACCAGTGGGGTCGGGTAGTTGCATCAAATATCCGCTCTCACCTCCCACGATGCGCGCAACCCCACGGAGACTGAGAGGAAAAGATCTCGACTATCAGCGAACCTACAAGGCTTGCATGCCCTGCGCCCGACGGAAAGTAAAATGCGAGCCCGACAGTGAAAGGTGCCGCCGCTGCACAGCCAAGAACCTCGACTGCACTTACAACTCGAAGAAGCCCTGGTCGAGGGATCGAGGGAGTCGGACTGGTGCAACATCAGGCGAAGGAGATTCAATCGGCAATGACCCTAGCGTGGGAGTTTCCGAAGCCGGGGTTCAGAGAGCCCACGAAACGGGAAATTCCCGCAGTCCAGGTATGTGCTGGATCCGAATAGAGAACGCGGTGGTACTGACCCCATTGACATCCTAGATACACCCGTTAATCAGGATGGTCTGTCGACATCGGTACTCCAAAAGGTTGTATCGAACAATAGTGACGCGATGGATATCCTGTTCGAGGCCGCTCTTCAAGAGTCCACCGACAATGGACTTGACCCGACGCAAACCGCGCCTGAATTGACCGATGCAGACGTGCTACGAATATGGAATGCTTGTCGATTCGTGAAAATGGGATGGTTCTCCGCCCACGAAGCCATGCAATTAATGGACCTGTATGTCTTATGATCCTGAGTGAATGTGGCTAATTCCAGCAGATTTTTTAAGAATATGGCCCCCCTCTCACCAGTCTTGACGAACTTCTTCGCCTCTCATAAAAACCAATACTACCTCGTTACTCAAGAGCCAATGCTCTGCTATACTATCCTCATGATATCTTCACGCTACCATACCCTCCCAGGCGTGGGAGGGTACTCGCGCTCGTTCTTCATTCATCATCGATTATGGCAACATTGCCAACACCTCCTGCTTCGGATCACACTCGGCCAAGAGAAGATATCCAAAGCAAAAACCAGAACGATAGGCAGCGTTGAAGCACTATTGCTGATGTCCGAGTGGCATCCGCGAGCCTTACAATTTCCGCCCGAGACAGATGGCTGGGACTCAGACTTTATCATGACTAGCCCTGACATTCGCGACCCGCCTTCCACAGAGGATATGGCTGTTTCTCTTCGGTGGCGGGAAGACGTGGTCGAGCCGACGAAGAGGTTCGAGCGGATGTCGTGGATGGTCCTTAATTCTGCGCTGGCTCTGGCACACGAGCTAGGTGTGTTTGGTTGTACTTCCAGGCTTGCCAAGCAGGATGATCTTGTTGGCCTCGACGCTGAAAGGTATCTTGAGTATTTGGAAGTGCGGCGTCAGCGATTGCCTAGTCTGCTGTTCACGTTTATCAATTCTTTATCGTCGAGGCTGGGATGCACCTCACCTATGCCTTCGGAAGTGGGTATACCAATGCCAGAAACGCGGACCTCGCTGCTATCAATTGATAGAGAATGGTTGCTGTTCATGAGTGCATGGGCTGAGTTAATGAAGCTGACCAGCTCTGTGACGGATACTCTGTTCCCGCTTATGAATGTCTCCGACAACAATGCTACAGATACTTTCATCGCAATCCTAGACCGCAAACAGGTAATGTTGGCAAACTGGAAGCAGAGGTATCTCAACATTGCAGGTAAGTCTTTGATCATCAGTTTGGTCCGATTTCTAACGCCAGCAGACAAGGGTCTTCCCTACACCCAAACTTTGTTCATCGAATACCAGCATCTGAGAATCCTCGTGAACTCCATCGGTATGCAAAGAATTGTTCAAAGGGTTCTCCAAAACAGCGTTCAACCCCCAAAGGGCTCAACAATCGACCCCTCTTTCATCGAGCGCGCAAGACGACTAAACATGACGACAAGAGAATACAGCTTCATCGAGGAAGTGATTGATGGCTGCTGCCAGACCCTCGAACGAGTCACTACACTAAGCGAATCACTGCATTTTTCACCTATGAGAACGCTATTTCGAACGATCAGCTCCTCCATCTTCCTTATGAAAGCCCTTGCGCTGGGAGTCCGCAACTCAAAGCTCCAAGAGGCGCTTCAAATCCTCGATCGGACCATTGCAGTGTTGTTAGATACAGAGCAGGACGATGTGCATTTGAGATCGAGGTATGCAGCTCTCTTACAGACACAGGTATCGCGTCTGAGAGAAAGCTTGGTGTCTTCTTACCCTGCAAGCCATGAGCCTGATCCTTACGATCTATCCATGGATATGGAGCTTTCGGACGCTGCTTTCAACAACTGGCTCGCTTTGCCTTTTGATTCTTCTATGGCGCCATTCGGGTCTACGGGGGAATTTGATAGGTTGGATGGAGTTGATCTGGACCTGGATTTTTTATGGCAACTTCCCCCTTGAATGCTCTGATCCCATCGAACCTCTGGGGCTTGAGCGTCCAGATAACAACTTTCAATTGATTGTTCTGACTGAAGACCAACTCGAGTCCCGAGAATCCTCAAATCAAATACCTAAACTTGACATTGGAGTCCCCATCAGTAACATCAACCCTCTCATCATGAACAGTCCCATATAATCGATCCCTCCTCCGATTCTCCCTAATCAAACTGACACTCAACCCAACCGCAAGAAGAGCAATACAACCCGTCAACGCACTCCCAATCGCACAACCTTTCGTATACAGCGGCGCATCAGCATCCGGAAACACAGAACTACTGACCAGACTGGATGTTTGACCAAAAACGGCCAGAATTGCCATCCCTGCTCCTTTCTTACTCTCTCCTCCCTGATTGTTAAGCAGCCAAGTAATATTCAGTGCCAGAGCGGGGAAAATACCACACGTAGCAAGCCAGATGCCTGCATATCGCGCCGAGTTCTTCGTTTCATCCAAACATGTCAACATGAGGTATCCTGCTGTGCCGAGGATTGCAAAAAAGGTAATCAAGCCTCCGCGATTGGCGATTCGATCCGATAGGAATGCTGCCGCGACGCAGCAGAGGAATGATACTAGGTATGGGGGTGCGGACAGACCCTGTGCGTTGATGGACGTGTATCCCATGGCTTTTATGATCGAGGGGAGGAAATTCGACAGTCCGGCGAAAGAGTAGTTGCAGCAGAAGTGAATGGACATGTGGATCCAGTTCTTGTAGTCTTTTAGACCGCTGAGCACTTGAGACCACCGCACTTTGTTCTTCGCTGTTGTATCGACTTCGTGGAGCCGCTCTACGGCTTCGGTTTGCTCTGTTTCTGTGAGGAATTTGGCTGTTCCTGGGGAGTCGGGGAGGTAGAAGTATACTACCACCGAGAATAGCACAGTTGGAGCACCCTCTGGTGGATCTTAGTAGGAAGAGCTGCCATGGCCTTGTGTAACGTACCGATTATGAAAAGGTATCTCCACGGCTCTAATGAGTCTTTGATATGAGTGATACCATATGCCAAGGCTGAGGCAAAGCAGTTGGCGACTGGCGACATGCCGAGAAGAAGAGAGACTCTGAGTCCTAATTCCTTTCGTTGGTAGAAGAGCGAGAGAAAGTAGGGAGCTCCACAGCCAAACACGGCTTCAAAGACACCCAGCAATGAGCGTGTGGCGAGGAGCTGGGCAAATGTGTTGACTGCGCCGCTACACATGGCCGCTGCTCCCCAACTAAACAACAGTTAGCCATTGATCTAGCGGGGTTGATGGGCTTGAAACTTGCCAGATACAAAGCCCAGCAATGTAAGAGTGGGCGGGTAAGATCTTCCACAACACCGTTGACCATTCGAAGACAATGTAGCAAATGTAGAATGCATATAAAACCCAGGACCACTGATAGTCACTGAGACCAAGATCAGTATCGAGACCGGCAGTCTTTGCGTTGCCAATGTTTCCTGTCCCTGTTAGCTGTTTCCAGAAGAAGTGTATGAGCATTTACCTCTATCCAGGTAGGATAGAATATAAAGCACACAAACAAGAGGCAGAACACGTCGATCGAACTGGAAGCTGTCAACATTGTTCAATCTGGCTGGCTATCAAGAGACCTTTCGGCGAATGGACGACTGTCTCTCCTCAGGGACCCCTCGGAACTCATGCTTCTCCACCTCTCCCGCTTCTATATGCTGGGATTCTGGAGTACGCTCGGACTTGATGCTTCCCGACATTGTTGTATTGGAGTCGAAGATAGATTAAAACAAATTGATCTTGAGCGAAACCAGTCAAAGGATCATGATTAAAATACATCTTTGGTGGGTCAATGCGTTCAACTTGGCATCAACAGACGAATGCCGGGATATCGTCAAGGTTGCGGGGTCCCCACGGGGACTGCACTAGCGATGTATCTCAAGTGCCGGGTTCCCCGCAATTGAGCGGATATTTCACGCTGGAAGGGAGTCCATTCGCGCTTCTCGGACTGTGCAATGTGGTGACAAGAAGCGGCTTTCCGGATATTCGCAAACTTCCACTTCTGAGCTGTGACCTAGTGCGAACTGCACCCCTTGCATACCTCCCGAGGTCTTTTGAAACCAGCACCGAGATAGAGAATAGTTCTCGCAACTCCAGTCCTGATCCATACTAATGTCTAAGAACAAAATAGAGAGAATAAAGAAACCAGCAGTGGAAGTGGACCACCCAGGCTCGGCCTGGACGAGTTCCGCAGCCATTAGCAAAGGAGCTCCATGTGGTCCCGAGGGAGATAGCCAGTCTCATTCCAAGTTCTCTCCTTCATAGAAACAAGCACAGACTGGCCTATGAGCGGAAGCCCTCGCCAACCCCGCATATCGCGAAGATCCCGCGAAGATCCCGCGACGCGGATATTAAATATCCGCACTCTGACTTCATGCAGATGAATGCCGCCGATGTCGCACCCGCAAAAGGTATAAGACAGTCCCAAGGCCTGGAAATATCAGTCTACATCCAATCTTGTCTTACCAGTTCAACATTCACCATGTCTTCCAGCTCAGTTCCTTACCCATTCCAATTTGACTCTCTGAAGGAGAACACTCCCGGGTCCCGCGATGGACAAACCACGGATTGCACTCTTACTTTGAAGAATGTCCGCGGTGCAATTCCCTCCATCCAAGCCTCTCGCCTCCGCAGTCTCATGCTAGAAGCGCACAACGACCCGACCAAGATCCTAGCTCACGCCTGCACCTACGACGGCTTGTCTTCCCGTCTCGTTGAAGAAGCAGGCTTCCCCATGGTCTTCCTTGCTGGATACGCCGTCGCTTCGTCTTATGGCCTGCCCGACACTGGATACATTGCGATGGCGGAGATGTGTGATAAGATTCGCGATGTACGCCGCCAAGTTTCCCTGCCCATTATGGCCGATGGAGATACCGGGTATGGAAGTCCGATGAATGTCAAGCGCACAGTTGAGAGCTTTGCCGCGGCTGGAGCGGCCGGAGTCATGATCGAAGATCAACAGTGGCCGAAGCGTGAGATCCCCCTCCTAGTTTCAGAGCTGGACTAATTCCCCTAGGCTGCGGACACACTAAAGGGAAGAGCGTTGTCTCGCGCGGGGAGGCGTTCGCGCGCATCCAGGCTGCCTGTGATGCCCGCAACGAGGGACAGGATATCTTCATCTTGGCGCGCACTGATGCCTTGATGCATGGCTGGGAGGAAGCCATGGCCCGGGCGCACGAGTTCAAGCGTATTGGGGTCGATGCGATCTTTGTGGAGGCGCTTCCGGATCGTGATGCGATGACGCGCTGTGCGGAAGAGCTGGATATTCCGGTGTTCGCTAATATCATCGAGGGTGGTAAGACGGAGAACCTGTCGGCTCAGGACCTGGCTGGGTTGGGCTTCTGTGCCGTGGCGTATCCGTGGTCGCTGGTCGCTGCTCACCTCAAGGCGGTGCGGTCTGCGTTGGATGGACTGAAGCAGAGCATGACGACGGGCCCACCTCCGATGATCCTGACGTATGATGAGGTGTGTGAGGGGGTTGGGTTTAACAAGTACTGGGTGCGTATTCCCTGAATCCCTGTTGAGTTGGAAGCTGGGCTAACTTGAACAGGAGCGGGAGACGAAGTACAAGTTTGAATCTTGAGGGGTATAGCGTGACATACTCCTGGGACCAATAAATCAGGCAGACATATTGACGGTGCACTCCATTTCTATCTACGATGTCCCAGTCTTATTATAGAATACTCCATGCAAGGAGTAAGCAATACGGGGTACATATATGAAGTAGAAATATCTCGGAGGATATCGAGTATATATTGCAATCAATGTTCAACTGTTACAGTACTATTTACTACTACTAACTACTACATAAGTAGTAACGAGTAGTGCAGTCAGGCAGCAGGATTCTCAGCCCTATATGTGGGGCAGCCCTATGAACTGCTTCTTGGCTCTTCAGTTTGGCTTCAAGGCTCTATTCATTTCATGATCTGATATTCTGTTGGCTTCTTAGCTCACTCATTCATTCTCTTCGGTTGGAACATTGGAAGTACCAGTCCAGGTGCCGAGGCCATTACCTGCACATGACCACCATCACCAACCCTGTACAAGTGACGCGACAATGACCACCTATTAGGATTGGATCACAAATGAAGCAATTGGCTCTAAAATCGCGACATGGAAGAACTCAATCAAAAAGACATGATACTCCTCCTCTGCCTCCTCCCCATCTTCTTCACCATCCTACAAATCCGCTTCTCCCTCGCGCTCTGGAGACTCGCAGCCTACGACCGCCCCAACTTCGACCCGAAACACATCCATCGCCATGGCAGACCCTATCTGGACTCGAGCCGGCCACGCTATCGCCAAGGTCCTAGGGATTGAGATTGCTACTGCCGACGAGACGGTGTATGCGTATTTTGAACACGAGCCGACGGCTGCCGATTGGATCCGTGGTTACACGCCTAGTGTGGCACAGGTCCGGCGGTACGTGTGGAACCTGTTTCCGTTTCTGCACTGGATTGGCTTCTACAATGGCCAGTGGTTGGTGGGGGATCTGGTGGCTGGCACGTTGCACTTTCCTGTCTTCCGTGGTTGCGCTGATCAATCCCAGGGATCACAGTCGGGGCCGTGGTGATTCCCCAGGGAATGGCCTATGCCGAGTTGGCCAAGCTGCCTCCGGAGTATGGCCTCTATTCTTCTTTCATGGGTGTTTTGATCTATTGGTTTTTCGCCACGTCAAAAGATATCACCATTGGGGTAGGCTCTCTTCTTGGTCCGGGAGGCATGGCTAACCCTGCTTAGCCAGTGGCGGTGATGTCGACCCTGATGGGCTCAATCCTCATTAGGGTTCAGGCTGTACATCCCGACATTCCAGGTCCGACAATTGCCTCGGCCCTGGCCATTATCTGCGGCGCAATCGTGCTGCTGTTGGGACTGCTGCGGCTGGGGTTCATCGTCGATTTCATTCCTCTCCCGGCAATCACAGCGTTTATGACCGGTTCGGCCATCAATGTCTGTGCAGGCCAAGTGAGGACGGTGTTGGGGGAGAAGGCGAAGTTCTCGACCCGGGGAGCCACTTACAAAATCATCATCGATACACTCAGGCATCTCCCATCGGCGAGAATGGATGCCGCGATGGGTCTGACGGCATTGGCAATGCTGTATGGGATTCGGGCGGCATGCAGTTATGGGACAAGAAAGCAGCCACACAGAGCTAAGCTGTTCTTCTTCCTATCAACCTTGAGAACAGCCTTTGTGGTCCTCTTCTATACCATGATCAGTGCCGCGGTGAACCTCCATCGACGAGATCATCCAGCCTTCAAATTACTCGGCAACGTCCCGCGGGGTTTCAAAGCTGCAGGCGTTCCCAAAGTGGATATTGCCATCATCAAGGCCTTTGTCAGTGAGCTTCCGGTGGCATGTATCGTCCTATTGATTGAGCATATCGCCATTTCGAAGTCCTTCGGCCGGGTCAACAATTACACCATCGATCCATCGCAGGAGTTCATCGCAATCGGGATCTCAAATCTCCTCGGCCCATTCCTCGGTGCATACCCAGCCACCGGATCATTCTCCCGCACGGCGATCAAAGCAAAATGTGGCGTGCGCACTCCTCTAGCGGGTGTGATTACTGCAGTCGTCGTGCTCCTCGCCATCTACGCACTGCCAGCGTTGTTCTTTTTCATTCCAAAATCCTCTCTATCAGCCGTAATTATACATGCCGTGGGCGACCTCGTGACGCCCCCCAGCACGACCTACCAATTCTGGCGAGTCGCTCCTCTCGACGCAATCATTTTCCTCTCCGGTGTGATCGTGATCATCTTCTCAGCCATTGAAACAGGGATTTACGTGACGATCTGCGTTTCCCTCGCAGTTTTACTGTTCCGCCTCGCAAAAGCCAGAGGACAATTCCTAGGCTATACACAAGTATACTCCATTATTGGCGAGGATGTCCTCAAAGGAAACCCAGCCCAAAGTTTCGAAGACCCTACCTCATCAAGACGAATATACCTCCCAGTCAACTACCAAGGGGGCATAAACCCCCGTATCAAAATACACCAACCAGCCCCGGGGATCTTCATCTACAGAATCTCAGATGGCTTCAACTACCCCAACGCGAACCACTACACCGACACTCTCGTCAGTCACATCCTCGCTACAACCAGACGCACCAATCCCCAAGCATGGGAAACGCCCGGAGATCGACCATGGAATGATCCGGGTCCTACGCGCACAGAGCGACAGAACCTACTCGCCCACATATCACCACTTCCAACACTCAGAGCCATCATTCTAGACTTTGCTTCCGTCAACAATGTCGACGTGACCTCGGTGCAGAATCTCATCGATGTCCGGAACCAGTTGGACCGCTGGGCCTCGCCGGATCGTGTGCAGTGGCATTTCGCGCATGTGAACAATCGCTGGACGAAGCGCGCTCTTGCAGCTGCTGGTTTCGGGCGCCCTGCACCGCCTGGCTCTGGAGAGAGGCAAAGAGCTATTTTCGATATAGCGGAGGTTATAGATGGGACCCTGTGTTCGTCGGCGTCGGGGGTCCAGGTTGAGAAGGATCTGGAGATTGGAGTTGCGTCGGAGAATAGTGCGTCTTCGTCGTTTCTTGCTGATGACGCGGCTCGGGCTGGCGAGGTTGGTTCTCGTCAGACTCGGTCTGGGGTGGGAACTGTGGCTGTGGTCGATGGTATTAATTGGCCTTATTTCCATGTTGATTTGACGGGGGCGTTGAAGAGTGCTATGCAAGAGTAATTCACTGCAGTTATCGGGGCATTTGCTGTTGCTGCTAGATTCGACAGACCTACTTGAATCCATTATGCTGAAGGAATAAGCATGGCACTCGAGAGCGTAAAGACATATCTTTGATAGTGGTCCCACACAAGTACGAGTTCTTCAACCATTCCGGTGGCGGTGTCAGATCTCGATGTTTCCCGGATTCTGACGATCTTATCCGCATTGGTATCAGACCTCGGATTCAGCTTTTGTTTGACCACCGCTCGCGATGGACATCCCAGGCAATTGTTGAGAACCTTCAGAGCTGGAGCTGATTGCTCAATTGCCACAGCAAATCCTCCTACCTTCCAAGGTTGTCAATAGAGGCTTATCAGTCCCAATAGCTCCCAATGTTGGGGTGAGGCTGAAGCTGGAACGAAAGCTCCAAGCTTGCACTCTGAACACCTCGCCTAACAAGTCAGTCATGCGAGAGCTCACTTGCATCTGAGGCAAATGTTGGAAAGCTATTCCAAGGTTGTGAGGCAGGGTGAACCCTTTGTTCGGTGATTACAGATCGCAAGCTGTCTACGGCTCCAACGCGTACACTATGTGACTACGAGGTATCCCAGCCAAAGCCTCCCGTTCTTCCAGCCTGGCAAATGCCCAGGTGGCAAACCTTGGAGCCAGATCAGCCAAAGGGATCTATGAGACCAGCACCACGAGACTTGTGGCTCAGGCTTGCCAAATCCTCCATGTGTGATCCGTATATGCTCTTGTTCGACGTTGAAAGCCACTGACTGCTGAAAAGTCGCTCCGGATCTCAAGGTCGAATGTGAAGGGTGCGGATTTGTTTTCCAAGGCCAGAGCTTGCTCTCCTACGTCACCGGGAGCGTAGTTCGGACAACCTTGGAAGCAATGCATGCTGACAGGAAGCGAACTACGCCCATTGAAGTATCGTAGTCGAGGTGCAGGCTCAGGCGCTTGGAACTCGCGATTTCGGAGGAACGGGCGAACGGCTCTGGGACCCGTGTCGGCGGTGGCCGATTGAGCTCGAAGTGCAGGTGTGCCGAGGACGTGAGAAAGACAAAGGTTGAATCTTGAACTTGACGGATCGAGAGCTATGGATATAGATATGGATATGGATATGGCCATGGCTAATTAATATTTAAACCCCAGCATTTCAGCTTTCCCCATAGCTCTTTTGCCAGTTGTGTGTATAGTATCAACGTCATGACCTTCAATACCGTATTTGTATTACCCGATTATACCCGAAACCGGAGCTGTCGAATACGAACCTCACGTCTCCCTGTGCAATTGCTTCAATTGCTCCTTTCTTTGTACTCCGTACATACAGTACATACATATGTATGTTCTGGAGGCATTGACCTTGCTCCAGTTGATAGCTTCGCAACGCAAGGACAACGCGTAACGAGTGCACCCTGAAATCGAGCTTGTGTGGGTCCTGCCAAGCTGCGATCAGCCGAAATACCAAATTGAAATTACCCCCGGAAGAATGCGAAGAGCCTCCGTCCCAATTGGGATAGCAGCATAGGGGGTAATTTTTTGCTCGGTTGATGTCTATATAAGGGTCTCTCCCAAGTACGGAGTATCAGCTCTGAAGCTTCCAGTGCTGATGTCGCATCAGTACTGTACAGTATAGTACTGTACGTACTGGGAAGACCAAGTTTTTGATAGTCGGGTTACGGCGGGTCGAGGAATCCGGACCAAGTGGATCGGAAAGCGAGGACACGACAGCCTGGATATGATTTGTTCATTCCCTTTTGACTTTGGGGTCCATTTTCTCTCCTTTTTTTCGAACAGGTTCGCCCCCTGCAATCTCTATAAGAACCGATCGGCTGCAGCCTCCTGCATAGAATTTGGCACCTCTCGGGAGGCGTGAAAGCTCGCTGGGAAGTCGAAGTGTCCCAATATGACCACTCGGTGTGGTGGATATCCGAGGGCGAAGGGGAGAGGATACCCACCGCAATCCACATAACTCGACTCCTTTCAGCCGATGGTTGCCCAGTGACTCCGTAGTTGGTGGGCCTGGAATCCGAGTCGGGCCGGTTTGGGCGACTCCGGGAACAAATCCAGAAACATTGCGGATCCGAGAAAATTATGATTGGTGCAGCCACGGATCGGAGTGGATCGACCCACCGGATTGGAACATGCTTAAGATCCACCCGATCCACTGGATCCACTGCAAGGGCATTTTCTTACTTTATTCTGTCAATTTCCTCTTATTCTACAGTACTGTGCGGAATACGGAGTACATTATGTACAGAGTATGGAGTAGAGTATCGTAGATGCCTCAATGCTGGGAATCCAAAGCTAGCAGATGATACTACTGGCAGTATCATAGTACTAGTAATCCGCGATTATCACAGATATCCCTGGTTGACGCAGGGGAGATACGGTGGAGCCCCAAACCCGACTGATCCCGACAGTAATAAGCGGTATGGAAACCAAAACCATACCGGTACGCAGCATTCCAGCGCGTAGGATACGCCGGCCACGCACAGAGTAGGGCTTTTTCCGTACGAGACGGCCGCACTAGCACCGAACAGGAGGCGGACGGGCAAAATTTTGGCCGGAGAGTATTTATGTCCGAGGGTGACCGTCTCCCGTAGTTTCCCAGCTTTTTCTCCCTGAAAAGTCCATCTCTCTCCTCTTTCTTTCTTTCTCCTCTCTTCCACCCACCCTCTAATTTTATCATCATCACAATGGCCACTTCTCGTGTCTTCGCCTCCCGCATGGCCTCCGTCATGGCCCAGACCTCCAAGGTCGCCCGCCCTGCGGCTCGCTTCCAGCTCAACGCTGCCACCAAGCGCACCTTCACCCAGAAGGCTCCCGCCACCCTCGGTGCCCCCAAGCGCATCCAGTCGCCCACCCTCCTCCAGGCCAAGGCCTTCCAGACTGCCGGCCGCCGCCAGTACTCCTCCGAGGTCGCCACCGCCATGGTTGAGGTCTCCAAGAACATCGGTATGGGTTCCGCTGCCATCGGTCTCGGTGGTGCCGGTATCGGTATCGGTCTCGTCTTCGCCGCTCTCCTCATGAGTGTCTCCCGCAACCCCGCCCTCCGTGGCCAGCTCTTCTCCTACGCCATTCTGGGCTTTGCCTTCGTCGAGGCCATGGGTCTCTTCGATCTCATGGTTGCCATGATGTGCAAGTACGTCTAAATTATCTACAACTCGGGCTTTCGGATTCTTGGAAAAATGTCATCAAAACAAGGATTTTGGATTTTTTGAGAGTCTCTCCCGCAGAGGGTATTTGGTCGTGATGTATTACCATGTACTACTTTCAGCGTCATCTACAACACTTTTCTTTCTGTACATATAGAGTCCTATATGGCCCATCGACCATCCAACCTATAAAGAGCCAAACAAAACTCTGTGTGTTGAGTCTGACGCCGTATGAACTTGCCTCCTCCCTAGATTCCCCTGACTCCACGGGGTGTTCGTAGAGCTGCACTTGTAGGAACAGCTCGAACAGCTTCTTCTCCACGTAGTACTAGTCCTCCGTAGACCTCCAAACCCGGGGAGAGCTCTTGGTCTCAAGCTCCAGCTCTACCGTGACGGTTTACGATCCATTGCGGTCCCTACGGGTCCCGGTGCAGATACTCGACCCGCTCTTCAACGACTACCTACGCCACAACCCCCATCCATTGGCTGTCAAGATACGGTGAGGGCAAACCGCGGACGGTTTCTAGGGCGATTGAGCTAAATAAACAGCGAATTAATCGCGTGGATGGGCCTCATCAAGCTGGAGACCCTCGACGCAAAATCTCTTAGCTCCCGGACCGCCCGACGTCGGGAACGGCTCTCCCGGAATCAGCTGACTCATCCCTCGACTCCGCATGCAGGATGCAGTGCATGAAATCATTCTGCACTCTGTATTCATTGGCAGTTCAATTGCTTTGGGCAGCATGCTCAATGGTGTGAACTGGAAGTCGCGCGGCAGTGGCGCTTGGTGGCCGTCGGCTATCCCGCGTTTATTCAGGCAGTATAGTACTGTCGGTTATATACATTTCATCTTGAATCACATCGCTCTTTTGCATTTACGGTCAATATATAAAATAAGTAGGGAAAAGGATAAAAACCTTGGAATGAAGTGTACTAAGTATCGCCAATCTTCCAAGGTTTCTCCAGTTGAAGGCCAACCTTGAAGCTCACCTGGGCAGTAATGGGTCCAGATACACGATATATATGTATGCATCTTCACCATCACCATTCGTCGCTGGTTTCCTCAGGGCCCTCCGGGCTCTTAGCTGTCACTTCCAATGTTTGACACACTTCCAAAGTTCTAAGCTGAGGCACTAGGTATATATAATGGCTGGAGACATTACATTTTTAAACGCGGGCTAATAGGATAGATTCCACGATTTAAAGAATACAAGATATGTAGGGACCAACGAGTCAGGCAATGCCCATGTGATTGTTGAAGGGTGCTCAGGTGCACAAATGGTGATACCGCCAATTTTTAATTCAAACATGCGTTTAAGCCGTGGAGACAGTGTCTGAAATCCATTGATGATACCACGACCCGACCCGGCTTGTCAAAACCAAAATTGACTCCTTCCTGAGCAAAATTTCAGCTCGGCCAATTCGTTCGCGCAAATGCTCTTTCAACCACCCACGTGGTCCGAGAACCCGCTCTGGAAGCCGCTGTATCATGCCATTTTCAACTTGATACCAGTCTCCTTGCATTTAAGCTCGAGACGATCAAACAGACCACTCAAATCTTCCTTTTTGCTTCGGGTGGAGAGAGCTATGTGCCTAAGATGAGGAAATTCGGATCGCAGAGATACCATTTCCAAGAGCTCGGATTGAAGCTGGTCATGGTGAGCAACTTCCATATCTGTGATTTCCAGATTGACCAGCGAGGGTGGCAGGGACTCGGAAAGTGACCTCGCATCTGCATGGTTCGCTGCATGGTTCGTGCGATCGGAAGGTAGTTTCATCAGGTTCTCATGTCGGACTTTAAGCTTCTCCAAAAAAGCGAAGCGTTTGAATGAACCGAATTGGGTCTCCTCATCATCGAATAAGCTCGGTTTAGAATATAAATCTCCATAGCCGATGTGCAAGTCTTTGAGGGTTCTGGAAAATGGAAGAATGGCGCGATGAAACCTTGCAGCATCGAAGGCTCTACCACCTCGCTCGTCATTGTCACCGTCGGGCATATCTGGCGATAGGTCGGCGCAGATTGAAATCCGCTCCAGACTTGTACACATCGATAGCCACTCAAGCATGCCACCGGTCCAATAGCCCTTGTTGACAATAATCTACCGAACCGGACATGAAGAGAGGCGAGGGTGCGTTCTGAAGCCATCATAAGGGGCCATATCTCCTATCACCCGTCCATGGATACGTCGTACAGCAGGGAAATGGAATACTGGCGTCAAGACCTCCGTATAGACCCATGACATCCCCCAGCTATCCGTTTGGACCAGCTCCAGGCGAGGGAAGGGTGGATCCAGATCAAATGGCTTCTGACGCCTCGCCGCTCTCCATAAAAAATTATCGATCACCTCCACACCATCGGGCGAGAAACCAAAAATTTCGAGGTTAGGCAGGACGGGGAGCAAAAGACAAAGCCATGCCTCTGCGCACATCCCCCGCTTTCCGTGAAGATCAGTTCTCAAGGACTGACGTTCTGGCAATTCATCCGGGGAAAACAATTTGTCTAGTGCTTTTTCAACAAAGACAGTGGTTTCATGATCCAGCGGTTCCATTGGGTCTTCGTACCGAGATTCCGTCCAGCTCATGTCCAATTCCCGGACCTGTTCTGCGAGTTCTGGCTGTCTTCACAAGAGCATAATAAGCCGAATATGACGGGGAGAGAAAAAATGGACCTGGATGGAACGAAGCATAAAAGGCAAATAAAACTTATGAAGACGCTGATTGCAAAGGACCAGGGAAAGCAAATCCTTGGAGTTGAAGTTGTTCTCCAAGTATGTCCCAATGGAGTGGAGGACCTCGTTCGGTAGCTGCTCCATAGTAGGATGATGAAGTGTTACAGAGTATGTAAAGATGCAAGAGGGAGATGCAAGAGGGAGATGCAAGAGAATTGCTTCGATCAAATCCAGGAGAAATATAGTACACGTGTGCGCGGGTTAGAAGTTGAGGTTTGGATGTCGCGACTCGCGACTCGCGATGATCGGGCTTGGCGCCAAGGCTCAAATATCTGATCGATCGACTTCATTTTCGACCACATTCTACAGTATTGTCTACGGAGATTCAAGCCTCAGAAGAACCTCTCATCTGCGTTGAAGGAGTCACCATCTGCAGCAATGGGGTTTATGAACTTGGGGGGGGAATATGAAGAGAGAATTTGTCGTTCACTTGCATCAAAGGCACCAACGAAACATGCGATGCGCTAGTATATTCAAAATGGCCCAAGAACCCATCAATCTATAATTTCACAGCCGGTTCCAACAGATGTCTCATCTCTGAGTTGGGGTATTCCACGTTCTCAGAGGAATCAGGCCGTTGCCGGTCCCATGCCCATTTCTCGACGAGTTCCGGTGCCAATTCGCCTTCTAGCATTTGAGTAATGTATTTTCCCAGGACGGGGAAGAACTTATATCCATGGAACGAGCCACAGGAAGCCACATAGAGTCCTCGGGAGGCGGAGTGCGGAGAAATGATGAAGTCGGAAGTCGTGGTGAACGCGTCCCTAACCATTGTTAACTCGACCGGGGCGAGGGGACCAAAAGAACTTACCAGCAGATTCTGTGCTTGGTCATCTTCCACGTTGCGCTCTCAGGCCCGTACCAGAGATTTCGGGATTCGATGATATCTTGCTTCAAAGGCCCCGGGACTTTCCACTGGTTATAGTCATGTGTTGGGGGCGGCGACGAGAGATGGCGGCCTGGGAGCACTTCTCGGGTGTTGGTGAAGATCTTTGATCCCCACCACTTCATCTCGCGGTCTTTGTTGGGCGGAATGCTGCCAATGAAGGGTTTGCCTGTCTGCTATTAGTGCTGTCCGCGGGGAGGCATTGAAGAACATACCTTCCTCTGGCGTATACCCCTGGAAGCCAACTGGCATATCTTTATATTTGGCATACTGCTCGTCATTGAGCTGGGCCATGCCCGTCGTAATTCCCGCGGCCAGGATGCGCTCCCCCGCGCGGAGCCCCGCATTGCCACTCTTGGCCGCACTCCACTCCAGAAGAGTCGGCGTGAAGGCGCCAGCGGCGACGACCACATGAGTGGCGGAGATAATCTGCCCTGACTTGGTGGCCACACCGGTGCACGCGCCTCGCCCGTCGAATTCCAAGTTAGTGACAGATGCCGTGACATATCGAACTCCCAGCTCCAGACATCGCTTGGTTACTGCCCGCAGCGAGTCTCCAGCCGCGGCCCAGCCACTGGCCTTGTTCACCAGCACTTCCTTGACGCCGGTATAGTCAGCGTTGTCGAAGACTCCGCCATACAGCTTCCGGGCCTCCGCGACCGGGAGCGCAATGATGTCCTCATGGCGCCCGAGCTCTTGGTGATTGGTGATGACATTCTGTGCGTAGTCGCTGCGGCATGTCCAGTAGACTCCCGTTTGGTGGAAGTGTGGCTGCCACAGAGGGTCTGATTTGAAGATCTCTTGGGCCTCCAGGGCTAGCTTGCAGTAGACCTTGTCGTCGTAGTCCGCCCGAACCACCTTGTTCCAGTCCCACGATGCGGCCACACGGGACTCTGCGTCGTACGCATCTCGATCCACGAGGGTGATTGATGCATCGGGGTACTTCAGAATGAGATGGTATGCGGTGGAAACACCAAAGACACCTGCACCCACGATGAGGTATGAGGGGCGCACTGAAGTCATATTGCAATGTGTGATGTCGAGTCGAATGGCTGGCACAATTGAGCTTGCCCTCGAACATTTAAAGCCCCCGCGGCTTATCTACCCGTCACGATGGGCCCGACAGACGGACCGTCTCGGGCGGGGGTTCCGATGGAGCCGATCACATGTACTCCGCATTCTGCCAGAGAGAGGAGAATAGTGATCAAGGAGAAGGGAAAGAGGACAAAGAAAGAGAATAGAGAATACAGAAAGTAGAGGATAGAAGATAGAGGCAGAGAACAGCCCTGGAGAGAAGACGGGATGTCAATTGAGGGCGATCCTACGTTCTTTGTCAGCAATGGAATTCCGGGCACCTGACAAGGACATTCAACAGACCTCAAATTACCTGTCCTTCGATGTCCTTGGACCTGCTTCGATATGCTCCAATGCGCCCAGAAATCATCGATGGAGCATGCTGACCCACCGAATACCACACTTCGCTGCAATTGAGCGCGGAAAATCGCCACTGGGAACGCCGGACCGTCCACGGGCCGTCTCATGTGGGCTGTCGCGTCCGCTCTATACTGATCTGGCCACACCGATCTGCCTCTATGATCTGAATCCTTGGACCTGCATCTACTGGCATGGGACAGGATAAGAGATGACCATCACCGGATATGAGAGGGATTCCTGAATACGGGTTCGATGACTAGATACTGAACGACAATCCACCATTGGCAGAGATAATGCTACCAGTGCACCATCCAAAATCTGGGTGACAGATCGCCGCCACCAATTTAGCAATCTCCCCCGGGTAAGCTGCCCGACCTCCAAATCGCTTCCCCATCTCCTGGATTTCTGGGGTGTCCAGGTCATCGCGTACAGATGCCAGCGGGGTCAAAGGGTTCCACCGACTAAGGATCTCCTTGATCTCATCGGGCGCCACGAGATACTGTCCCGTGCTCACAGCCCCAGGATTGATCGCATTCACGGTAGCCTGCTCGGCCAATTCCCGGGCCCAAACGCGAGTCATGGCCTCCAAGGCCCCCTTGGTGCCGGAGTAGAGGGTCGTATTCTCGGTGCCGACTTTTGAGTTGATACTTGACAGCATCACGATGCGGCCTGAACGATCCGTGGGAAGGAATGGCCTGCAGATACCGGTGAGCAGTACGGGTCCCAGAACGTTCACGTCGTAGATTCGTCGAAACTCCGATTCCTTCACGGTCTCCACGGGGCCAAGATATGCGATTGCAGCGTTGTGCACCAGTATATCGATCTGGAATTGATGAGATTCCGTATTGCTGAATCTGGACTCCATGGCGGAGACCAGTCTCTCGCAATCTTCTCTCGAAGTGATATCTGCCCGAAATGGGACAGCCACCACCTCATACATCCGTTCAAGCTCGGATGCAAGCTGTCGGGCGACCAGATCAGATGCCTCGCTTGTGTAGTTGATGACTACATTGCATCCTTTACTCGCAAGGTTCTGGACAATTGCAGCACCGATACCTGGAATTCCGGTCAGAGAAAAAACACGCATGCAAGCCAGTTTCATACCTCGCGAAGAACCGGTCACAATGGCAAGTTTCCCTTCATACTCGCGCGACATGATGGTATACTAATCTTTGTACAGCTTGATTGTACAACTTGATAGAATCCTTGCGGGCCTGAAAGAATACCCCCACACTGAGTGAAATGAGGAAAGATCAATGAAAGCAAAAGTGTGGGTATTTCGGTGTTTACTAGCGGGGTATTGCTTTGAGTCCTGACTAGTCATGCCCTGCCCTGGTCTTGCAGCATCAAAAGTCCCCATACGAGCCGTGTTGGTACAGTCACTGTTGATCAGTGGTGCACATTTACGAAAAAGTCACTTGTCTCTACTTCTCTCGAATATTGCTGTACCTGCAGTTCTATTTCCCTTGTTCAACTTGAGATGCAACGGCTTCTATAGGATATCCCCCAAACCGGTCTATATCAAATCATCCCCTCCGTTGGGAGTTTGCGCTCACCATTTCGCAAGAGCACCACCATCAATCGGCATACAGATCCCATTCACAAAGGAGGAGGCATCAGATGCAAGCCACAACGAGCCCTGGGCTACCTCGTGACCCTGACCAAATCGATTCAGACTCGTCACCTTCGGGGCAAATTCGTTATGGGTCGTGCCCATAATCTCCAGCGCTGCGGCTGACATTTCGCTCTACTTCTGATCAGCTTCCTGGTATGGTCAATCACAGCTTCTAGTGGGGATTTGCTCACGTAAATAGGACCAGGAGCAATTGCATTCACCCGGATACCCAGAGGGCCACCCTCTGACGCAGCGTGCTTGGTGAGCCCCAACAGGGCGTGTTTTGCAGACGTGTATGCCGGCATATTTGGCTGCGGCGAGTAGGCATTGATCGATGTGATATTGACAATAGATCCCTTGCCTTGCTTCTTCATTTGCTGCATTTGATACTTGCAACACATTGCCGTGCCAGTCAGGGTGACATCCATCAGTGAGCGCCAAACATTCTCGTCAAAGTCGACCAAAGGAGCTTTATCCGGATAATGGGCAGCATTGTTGATCGCGACATCCAACCGACCAAATGCCTTGACAGTCTTCGCTATGAGGTTTTGAACATCCTCTGATTTCGAGATATCGGCTTGCACGAAATGTATCTCTCCAAGGTGAGATAACTCCCCGGCCACCAGCTCTCCCTGCTCCGCCTTGATGTCGGCGATGACTACTTTAGCCCCTGCCTTCAAAAAAGTAATTGCAGTAGCTTTGCCCATCCCCTGAGCTGCTCCCGTAATGATTGCGACCTTGTCTGTCAAGACCGGAAAAATCGGGGCCTCGGGGACATCCATCCTTGTGTTCTTTTGCGCAGGAAATTTGAGAGTCAAAGAACTTCCTGGCTTTTCCCACAGACGCAAGAAAAATGCCTTGGTATCTGCATCATTACTTGCTTGATTCGGGACTAATTAGTGTGGGGAAACTAGCCCTAGTGTGACAATCACCACGTATGCTTCTCAAAGCTCAGAGGAGGGTCGCGGCCCACCAAAGTAGTTTTGGCCCCCTATCGACACGCTATGCAGCTCAATTTGGCATGAAACGGGCTTCATGCAGCTTGAGCCGCGGTGGGACCAGCGATAATTGTATCTGTGGGGTCCTTGGGGCCGTTGTGCACCTGAGAACACGTCAACCCCTCATGGAGTGTATGGAGTAAATGTAGATCTTTCCCAAACCAAAGACATCTGGGACCTAGGGATGTCCCTGCCGCTTTGCTGGCAGCTTAGCAGGGGTTCTTTCAAGGTACCGAAGCGCGCCGTCGGCGCAAACTTGTGCAAGTCTGACATTGATTCCATAGTGCGTTATTCTGGGAGCGTGGCTCGAACGGCTTGGTATTTTGTTAATTTAAATTGATCTCAGCGGCGAAGACTTTAGAAGGGTGGAGAATAGACCAGGCATGAGAACCATCTACATCAAGTTTGACCAGACTATTCCTTGCTGATTGTTTGGAAAAGCTTGTTGTTTGCCGAGTAGCTTGACCATCTGGAGGTGTGTAGACCAGACGGCCTAATTCTAACGAGATTTCGCGCGCAAACTATGTCCATGCATCTTGCTCGTTAGACGCAGCACGAGGTGGGATTGAGCTCGGAAATGATCCAGCAAATATGATCACCTATGGAGAAACGTACTGCAAGAACTGAAGACGAAGACCGGTGTGCCAAGCATAACCAGCATGCTTCAACACTAGCGATACTCGAAACAGACAAGATGCGATCACAGCATGATTTTCTTGAACGCTTGCTACTCACAGCGACTCGTCAGAGGGCGGGATGAGCTCCGAAGTAGGCTCGGGCAGCTCAGAGAGTGATTTGTCAAACGGCCACATCGGACGGTGGATTCGATGATGACCTAGACGTAGTAGGTCCTGATCCACTCCCCCGGGTGTCAGCCCTAGCATCCAGTCGGCGGCCATATCAAACAGCTCTGGCTCAAGGTAGCCAATCTTCACAACCACCACGTCGGCTTGGCGTGGATATAGGCGAAGGTCAACGAAATCGCTTTCGTGATGATATGGCTTCCGTCGCTTTGTCACAATGACAAACAGTTGTCCAACCTGTAAAACTGCCTCCACTTCGGCATTGAGATCTCCGTGTTTGATTGAGAATACGATGCCGGTCATGGTCACGGGCCCTGAATGAATGTTATCAACCTGAGCTCCGGCGGTGACTGTTACTGTGGCACCGATTCCAGCTTGGATCATGACGTCGATTGCCTCGGGTCCCGGAATGCTGGCATATATCATGGTGATACCGGTCTTGCCCTGCAGTTCCCTTCGTGCTAATAACTCGATCAGACTCGAAGTCACATCCCCAGAGCCTCCCGCAGTGGGATTGTCTCCCGAATCGGATATGAAAAAGGGTCTCTTGGACGATGCAAATGCAGTATCCAGGCATTTGGCCAATGAGCCGGCGGGCGCCACAAAATGAAAGTCCTCACGATATTTCCAAAACTGCGCGGCAAGCCGCTTTGCTTGATTCATGACTGTGGCCTTGTCCCAGCCAGTGACCATCACCACCGCATGGTTTCGAGGCTCATCCGCCCACGCATATCCCACCCAAATCCCCGCGTCGAGTATTTCTGGAATCGCTTCGACGACTGGAACGAGATCATATAGACTTTTGGCTGGCTCCATCCGTGTCGAGGTCTGCTCCCCGGGGAGCAAGATAGGAATCGGAACCCATGCCTTGTAAGGCTTTCGTGGTTTCCCGGTCCGTGTGGGCGCAGTCAAGATATCCACCAGGTTTTGACATGCCCGCTCCTTTGTTTCCATAGCGTCTTCGTGCGGGGCCATTCGGAAGCAGGTTATCAGGTCTGTGCCGTGCGCCAGCGTTCTGGAGACATTCCCATGCAAGTCCATCGACGATGAGACCACCACGTCGGGGCCAACCACGGTTCGAATGCGACGCAGCAGTTCGGCTTCCGCGTCATCCAGGCCCTCCACGCACATCGCTCCATGAATATCAAACCAAAGCCCATCAATCGGAGTAGCCGCGACAATTTGGTGCAGCCTTGTCATGATCTCGCTGGCCAGCTGTTCGAAATCTCTCCGAACCACAATCCCGCCTGGTAGGGCGTGGCCGATGAGAGCTCCTTCCCAACATGCCGCGTTTGCCAATGGTGTTCCCTCCTGCAAAAACTTGTATTTCTCGATGATCTCCGCACCCCGGCGTGGATGGAAGTCCCGGCTGACCGTCCGAGCGGGGGAGAAGGTCGAGGTTTCGCAAGCAAGACCGGCAATGGCAATGACCGGACGGGGGATTATTTTGAGCGTCATTCGGAAAGCAGAGTAGTTGAGAAGGGAACATTGAAACAGTGGCTTCCCCGCTTTGGGCAGAAATACCTACGCACGTGTTTTCGCTATGCCTGTTGACATGGCCCTCTCTACTCCAGGGCTATAGATCGAGAACATCGGATGTAGTTGATCCTCCAGTGGATCCCGAAGGACGCCAAACCCTGAAGACGTGGAGGCGAGTATGTGCTCCATACTTGTACTATCGGATGCCCTTGAGAGTACCTAGGTATGACCTAGGACATAGAGTGATTCGAGACCAGGGTGCTGATTGGAGAGGTAAATACCTAGGTAGATGTAAGGGCTCTTAACCTTGTAGAGCAGATCAAATGCAGGAAGAGTGAGAGAACTGCAGAAGTAGAAACTATCTAGGTAATCCGGTTAAAAGGAACTGAAAGGTAGTCCTTTTCAGTGTCCCATCAGAATGGCCGAGTGGTAACAATGAAGCCTAACAGATTCCATAGCTGGCTGGCAGTGGTTGGAAGGGACACCTTTTTTTTTGCTCTCCGGTTCGCTCCTCCCCTTGAGCTTTCTTTTTCTTTTCTTTTCTCTTTCTATATCAATAGATCAAGGGTTTTTCTATACAAATGTTGACAAGGGAGTTGATCTGGAGTGGGTCCATACTACTCACACTCATCCGAGCACAGAATGGCCAAGCGTTGGTCTCCGACTTTGGAGTGAGTCTCAATGACATGGACTACGGAGTAGTACACCTTGGAATGAGAGAGTCAGAGAGTGAGAGACAACCTGAGGCGAAGAGCACGCGTTCTGCCGCAAACTGCCGATGAGCCTTGACGCGTTTGTCTTCCCGACACCTGTCTGTTCTCTGACACATCCCATTCCATTGCCTTGCTGAGCTCCAAAATGGAAACATCAACTCAACCTAGGCCACTATTGGAAATTGCATGCTTCGACGAGAATGCGCCCCTTCTCGCTGCAACAGCGGGAGCTGATCGCATTGAGTGAGTGTTGCGAACCAGACATATCGAGTCGCCGAATCGTCCATTGACCTCGTCTCAGGTTATGCAAAGACTATCACATGGGAGGGCTCTCCCCAGATGACACGGTTCTTCGGAAGGTGAAATCAAGATTGACGATCCCAGTATACGTCATGATTCGACCCCATGCCAGATCCTTTTGCTATGAGACCTCGGACTTTGAAACCATGAAAGAAACTCTCACTGCCCTCAAATCCCACGGTGCCGATGGGTTCGTCTTCGGAATCTTGAGTCGATCTGACCGAGAAACGGAAACCTGTCCTCATTCGGGGTGGATTGACGTCCCTCGCAACAAGGAGCTGGTTCGTTTGGCGGATGGCCGACCTTGTACGTTTCACCGCGCTTTCGATCTCATCCCTGAAACTCAGTGGGAGAGCGCCCTGGCAGATATCATGGAGTGTGGATTCTCGTCAATCCTCACCAATGGCGGCCCGTCGGGAACCACTGCAATAGATTGTGTGGACAAGCTTACGGCCTTGGTTCATTGGAAAAATAGTCAAATAACGAACAATCCAGGCCTGCAGAACAGAGTCCCGGAAATTATTGTGGGGGGCGGCGTCAGAGCATCGAACATACAGAGTCTGCGAGAGACCACCGCTGCCTCCGTATTCCATTCAGCTGCTCTACTCGCCCGGACCGAAACGGTATCTGAAGTCGAAATCACGAGGATGAAGGCCCAACTGTGTGGGCCTAAGACAGATACTTCGGCTATTGATGACTAGGCGAATAGGAGCAAAATGAAGTAATGACGATGCGACCGCAATGATACCCTGAATGCTCCCACCAAATGTCATGGGCTGATTGACTGATACTGGGCTTGGGAGTCTAAGTCATATTTGCCCTGGTTATGACCAGTTCCCGAGGTCATCGTTTCCCGGTGCTTTTCCCACCACTCACCACATCCGCCCAGGAAAGGTGCAGTCTACTGTACAACAGGAACCGCGGAAAGCTTAAGGAGATACAAAGCTTTCACCATTGGACATCAACCCCAAAGCCATTCCGTGAGCTGCCTCAGGGTGCATCGATCGGTGCCGTAGCCCCGAGGGATCGAACTTTGCATAACAATGGCACATGGTCAAGCTTCCGCAAGCTGCCAAGAGTCCTGGACATTTGAAGTGATGGAAGTTTTCGTACTGTAAAGCTCAGTATGGCCACTATGCACCGAGGCAGAATTTCCATGTCCGATGTTCGTCACAGTAAGACCCGAAAGCAGCGAAAGCACCAGCGATCATCGGGGTAAGTGTCTATTGGCACAGACGCACCTCAAAACCCCATCAGAATGCGGGGTTAAGGTTCATACTCCACCGGCAAAGGAGCTGGCGATCTATGGACTGCTACTTATAATGCGACTTGTCCGGGCCTTTCATCGATTTGACAGGCTGTCATAGTCCTATGAGACTATCCGGACCTATATTTCCACAAATCTCCTACCTAGTGACAAGAACCATCCATCAACTTTCAAGATGATGAACAAGTTGAAATCCGGGCTCAAGAAGGTCCAGGTCCCCCAGGATCCTGGACTGTCAACGGCACAGCTGATGTTAACGAACGATGACCTTCGACCGGGTAAGATTCTAATTTGGTGTGACTTCATGTGTCTCAGCGAACTGTCCCTTGAAGACCTCCGTTGCGCAATTGGAGGCCCACAAGGCTGGTTTGAGTTCTTGTCACTGACTCTCCGTGTCCTTCGACTCTAGTTGACCCTGAGCGTCGCCAATGGGGCTGGCTCAATTTCGTCGCATTTTGGATTGCAGACTCCTTGAATGTCGTAAGTCTATGTCCTGTCTTGATCTGCTATCTCTCCTCATTCATTCGATAGAACACTTGGATGATTTCCTCGTCCATGATTGTGGATGGCCTTTCCTGGTGGCAAGCCTGGCTATGCGTGTGGATTGGCTATACCATTTCGGCCATCTTTGTGTATCTCATAGGTCGCATTGCCACAATATATCGCATTCCATTCGCGGTAACCAACCGCGCTTCGTTTGGAATCTGGGGCTCGTTCTGGCCGATCATCAACCGTGCAGCAATGGCTGTCATTTGGTACGGAGTACAGGTAAGTTCATCTGCCCTCATTTACGCTCATGGCTAATCTTTTCTTCCGAAGACTTACCTCGGAGGTAAGAGGTCCCAGAGAACGAAAGCAATTTTAGATTGTGTCGCTGACTTGATCCCTAACCTCTAGGTGAATGTATCACTTTGATGATTGCTGCAATATGGCCGAGCTATAACGACTTGCCGAACACGATTCCCGCTTCCTCGGGCGTCACGACGAAGCAATTCGTCAGTTTCTTGCTGTTCTGGTTGCTCTCCTTGCCAGCCCTGTGGTTTCCCATCTACAAGATTCGCCATCTCTTCACGGTCAAGGCATACTTTTCTCCCGCTTGTGCCATTGCTTTCTTTGGATGGGCGATTGCTCGAGCCCATGGCCTCGGTCCGATTATAACCCAGCCGAATACCGCGCAAGGCAGTGACCTGGCATGGGCGTTTGTGAAAAGCATCATGAATTGCATTGCCAACTTCGCCGCCCTGGTCATCAACAACCCGGATTTCGCCAGGTACGCCCGTCATCCCAAAGATGCTTTGTGGCCGCAGTTGATCACCATTCCCGTTGGCTTCGCGGTCACATCGTTCATCGGAATTATTGTCTCCTCCTCGTCGAGCGTTATATTTGGCGAGGCCGTTTGGAATCCCCTCACACTTTTGGGTATGTTTCTCAAAGGAGCCAGCTCCGCTGAACGATTCGGTATCTTCGTCATTGGAGCGGGCTTTGCTCTGGCGCAGCTGGGAACCAACATCGCCGCTAACTCGGTGTCCGCTGGTACCAACCTCACGGCTCTTCTCCCTCGCTTCTGCACGATCCGACGGGGCGGATATTTGTGTGCAGCAATCGGTCTTGCTATGTGTCCTGTAAGCATGCGCGCGAGCAGACCGGTGACAAGGTTACTGATCCTGGATTACAGTGGACTTTGGTTGAATCATCCAGCAAATTCACCCTCTACCTATCGGCCTATTCCGTGTTCCTGGCTTCCATTGCAGGCGTGATGGCCAGCGATTATTATCTCGTCCGAAGAGGCTACTTGGACATACAATCGCTGTATAGCGCTGAGAAGGGCAGTATGTACTATGGCACATTTGGAGTGTCCTGGCATGGATATGCAGCTTACCTTTGTGGAATCCTGATCAACATTGTTGGCTTTGCTGGTGCCGTGGGCGTCGATGTTCCCGTTGGAGCAAAGTACATATACCAGGTCAACTACTTCTCCGGCTTCCTTGTTGCCGGCGGAATCTATTGGTTATTGGCCTATTTGGTTCCGATCCCCGGAACGAGTGAGACCTGGAATGAGATTCCATACGAGCCACACCACATGTCGGATGAAGAGGAGAAGAAGATTGAAGATGCGTGAGGGGAAGATCTCCATGGATGTTTGCAAGCGTCAACGGTCAATGGTGATTTTCCAGTGCGAATCAAGTCATCCCAGTCGTGAAATAATCCTGGAAGATGAAAACGATGAATACGAAGAATACGAAGAATCTCGATAATGAATCGTGCATGATACAGAGACTAAACCCCACGCCTTTGTATAGAACCCAGCTTAACTCCGTCGGAATCGGCCGATGCTCCAACAATCCCCCCGCATTTGAGCCCGTCCCCGCGGGGAAGATGGAGTCAACTGGTTTGTATTTGAATCGAGTAATCACCTTATCGCCTATTTTGATCGAGTAAACCCCTGACCAATTTGTCTCACGGACACGCGTGTGGCGAATTGACCTGCAAGACCTCTTTTTGACACATGCCCAGTAAATGGCTCCAGTCTAATTGATTGCGGACCTCGGGACCTTGAGCCATGTCATGGCGAGAAACACCTGTGGATTTATTGTGGCCACAAGGCCATCTTTGTCTATGAATGCAAAGAAACGATTCGGAAATGGAATTAATGGTTTGATTAGGTTTCAGAATATCAGACGCGAAATTAAGCCTTACGATCTTAGTGTGACCCAATTGAAAGAACACAAACAGTCATGGCTGGAGCTGACCACCGCAGATGAAGAGCTCGCCTAGTATGACATGGACCCTCCTTCTCACTTCGGAGATTCAACCAGCCTTGGAGTGATGTGAGCGCCCGATCTTTTTTTTTGCCAATGGCTTCAATGTTCTGCACAACTATAGCACATTCGCCTGTCGTGATCATCCTAGTTTTGAGCAAAGCAGACAGCCTCCCTGGCAAGCCCATTGAATCTAGTAAAGGTGGGAGTCAAGTCATAGAAGGATTCACGCGAAAGGATCTCAGATCTTTTCGACAGGTGCCAGGCCTCAGCCTTGGAAAACAAAAAATATGGCGCTGGAATTATGTCTTCTTAGATTTTGCTTGTCCATACGCAGAGGTCAACGACTGCTCCGTTTGATCTTGAATGTCCTATTCATGTGTCAGCTTGGTGGGTCGTGAGAGGCACACTGGAAAGAAGGCGAAATACCTCAATTGCAGGGATAGCTGAGTGCCATGCCGCTATCAACATCCCTTGGAGCGAGAAGTCCCTCTTCACTTCTTCCAGGGTGCTTTGCACGTCTTCTCGGTGGAACCGATTCACCTTCTGCACTCCATGCATACCAAGGTCTGTAGCTAGATGATGTCTCAGCAAGTCGGGATACACGGCGAAGGCGATTAGACTCTGATTGTAGGAGGACCGGTAATATCCGACCGCCCCAAGAATGAAGCCTACGCAAGACCCCCCGACAAAGCCCACTGCACCCGCAGTGAAAGCATAGCCTAGGATGCTGGCCCCAAGAAGTCCCAGGAGAGCTGCCGTTGAGCTTCCGGCTATCAAAGTCTGAAACATGAACAGGCCTCGACCACTAGGCTTTGTCAATCCACCCACGGCTCGCAGCACTTGGCCTAGCGAGCTGACATTTTGGACTGGAAGGTCACCCTGGCGCATGCGTCAGTATGGAACCAATTCTGGCGATGTGGGCTCATTACCTGCATGCTGAGTAGCTATTCGGACCGCGTCGGAGCACGGAGTCCGCAGCCGAGGTTGGCCGAGGTTGACCGGGGTGGATGTGGCACGTGATGTGTGTTTGTCTAATTTGCACATCTACGTCGTTTGCACCGTTTGCACACGGTGTATCTACATCGCTCAGCGCGTCTCTAGAGCTCTTCTCCCAGCCAACGTCATTGATCTTGCTTTTAGCTCACTCCGAGATCGAGCTTCTAGCGTCGGTCAAAACCTACTGCGCTACAAGGCCGAAAAGATCTGTATAGAGAGACAAATTGTGCTCTTGTGTGGAGATTACAGACGCGTGCTACCGATGAGTACCCTCAAGGCGTTCTGAGAAAGGCCAAAGAATTTGAGTTGAAACTAAACTGTCTCATTTGGGAAGAATGTGAAACCAGCCGCATACTGACAGTCAGCACACCCGGCCGAATATCCCCTATTTGACAATGGCCAGCAGAAAACCGTCATATTCCTTGGCCCCCACCGTCTGCATAACAATGGCATCCACTCGATCGTCTTTCCCAGCTCTCGCCACCAGGTCCGTGGCATCCTTGGGATCGCCCTTGCCGAATGACTCCCTCTCCACCAGGTTTCTCACGGCGTTATCAACGTATATCACACCCCGCTTCGCTGACAACTCCACGGCATAGTCGAAATAGTTGGCCTGGTTGTCCCAATCCGCATCGACGAAGATAAAATCAAAGGGCTCTCTTTGACCCTGTTCTATTTCGGATTTTAGCGTTGGCAAAACATCCAGCGCTGCTCCGAGCCGCACATCGACCTCGTCGGGAACTTGGACGCCGGCGAATCGAAGGTTTTCAATTGCCACATCTCGCCTGTGGGAGTCTATCTCGATACTGGTCACTTTGCCACGGCCCTTCAGGGCTTCGGCAAACCAGATAGTGGAGTAACCTCCCAAAGTTCCAATCTCGAGGACATTGCGGGCGGAGCTTAGGGTAGCAAGAAGGGAGGTGAATTTCCCTTGGATTGGTGAGACAGCAATCATTGGTAATCCTTGATTGGTGCTGTTTTGATACGCATGATCTAGGCCCTCGTTTTTGCGGATGAGGTGGGAGGCAACGTATGAGTCCACAGTCTCATGTTGGGTCGTTGGGTCGAGAGACATGCTTGCTAGCAAGGTTTGAGGCTGAGGGATGAAGTAGTTGAAAGAGTCACTGAATGTTTGATGGGCTCACTAATGAGACAGATCCGGGTTCAAGGCCCAGCTTTATATGTGTGAAAGCCAGTATGTTGGGGCCTCGTCCGAGTCGCAGTTCGGCTTTGAAGCTCGGAGATACGAGAAAGTTCCACGTCCCCGAACAGGATTGGGTACATCCATGGATCATTGGTGGCCAGGCTTCAGGTTTAATCCACAAGTACGGCATCGCTCTGGGCGCTGTTCTCCGAAAGGGAACCCTCAGCTGATCCTGACCCGCCTAATAACCAACTCGGGGAGTATTGTGAGTCAATGGCAAAATCGGCCTATTTTTTGTTCTTTGAGGCATCAAAGTACTGGCTCTCATTACCGACGAACGAAACGTGGATTGAAGGACTGTTATCTCCGATGTATCATCTCCGAGGTGTTTTTACGAAGGCTGCAACAGAGCGGGTGCAGCCGACGAGGGGTTTGCTGCTTCCGGTCGACTGCAGCGAATCTAATCAGATTGAAATGCCCAGTCCAATCAACGTTAGGCGACGAGCCGGGAGGCAAAGCATCCGGACAGGTCAAAGATCATCCGATCGAGCATCATTTACACGTGAAATGCAAGTGAGACCCTTATGCGGTCACGTATTGCCCGTTGGTACTTTATGCCGCTCGCATTGACTTGGTCTTTCATATGCTTACACCGGGCCAATATTTGACTTTCATTGGGATGACAATGAACACAATCCAATAGAAAACAAAATGACTCAGAGGCCAGCCCAACGCCGCGAGGCGAATGCTCCACCATCCACGAGAATATCACTTCCAGTGACAAAAGAAGAGCTCGACCCAACCAAGAAGCTAGCTACATTTGCGACCTCTTCAGGAAGTCCGGCTCGCTGAGCAGCAGATATATCCACCATCGCCTTTGCCCCAGGGGCAGTTTCCAGTTCACGGTTCCCGGCCGCCGTGGAGATCACACCGGGGCTGATCGTATTGAACCGTATCCCCTGTTTCCCCCATTTGCTGGTTGCCGCCTGCACCTGGATGAGGTTTGCGCGCTTCGAGATAGTGTAGGCCTCCGAGCTTGTTGCATCCATCTTGAGTTCGTTGTGATGTAAGATCCGATCGGCGCTCGAGGCTGCTATGTGGCTCTCCAAACTGGGGGAAAATGACACAAAGTGGCCAGCCAAGCTAGCGATGCAGACCATTGACGAGCGCCTTGACATAGCCGGTGCAAATGTGTTGATTATGATCGATGTCCCAAGAAGATTCACGTTGTAGATTTCCTTTGCGGCGGCTGTTGTTGGGGCGAGGCCAGCGGTATGAATGACTGCCATCACCTGGCCGGCGGCAGTCGCAAATGCCACCAAATCTCGCACCGAGTCCGCGTCTGTGATATCGACTTCTTGGCTGATGACATTCAGACCTGCCTCTTGAAGGGCGATTACTCCTTTCCGTAGGGTCTCGGCCGAATTGTCTGCCAGCACTATGCTGTGCTTGCTGGACGTCTGGGCTGCACAAGCTAGTCCGAGCCCTCCGGCCCCAATGATCACCGTTACGACTGGTTCCATTGTTGAGAAACTCTTGCGTGCAAGTGCGAGAAGTGGCTTCGAACAGAGAGCGGGGCGAAATCGACGAAAGATCAGATCTAAAGAGAACAATTTCGATACCGGAGATACCCAAAATATCCTATTAATGACGGCCAGCAGGGAGAAGTGTCTTCAAGGTCTACTATCTGAAGGGCATCAGTATTGCAGATCGTTGAAGGATTTTCAGCCAACGAAACGGCCGGATACGCCAGCCCGGGACCACTTGTGGAGGGCTAAGTGGAGTGGTTTTACTTCAAGCATTGCCGGCCCACTTGAAAGGGACTCCGTCGGGTTTTGCAGACTTGTGTCCCCGTCATATTGGCTTGATTTACGGAGTGATATATTCGATGCAGGATACCAAATGTTGGGGTCTCAAACCCTGACCAATCTCAACATTTGCTGATTGCCAGCATTTTTACCGGGGGCCATGACCTGAAGCTGCTTCCAGGTTCATATCATATCGCATCAAAACATTATCGGAGCTCACTATAATCTTAGTCGACTTGGACCCTGTGCTAGCGGGTAACTGGAAAAAGACAGCGGATGGCCACTTAGCCGGTCTATTGACCCACTATGCGCGGACAGAGTTAAAGCCCGACAAAACACACCAATGAGACCCTGGTGGCCATTGGCTAAAAGGTGGAGTGCATGGGGCTCAGTCGTATCATTTTCCGTACATACACTCTACTGTAGGTGTATCCTCTATCGACGCTCAACCCAGTGATCCTTGGCAGACGAGCAATTTACTTTACTGACCTGTACTTGTACTCACAGTATAGTACAGTATAGTACTGTTACATGATACCATCTTCTGGTTTATCAGTCAATGGCTTGTCATGAGTTGATGCTAGCAAGCCTCACCTCGGACTTGAGAATGAAACGCCGTGTTGAAAAAGACATTCAACCGGCACACAAAACGCCAAAATTCCGCGTCGATCCTGCGATAGAGGTTGAAATTTCAAAAGGAGTCAAGTAAATCATCCTGATGGATATGGATGAGTATGGAAAGCCTCATCGAGTCACTCCCTTCTATATGGCTGTCACCTGGCGCCATCCCTCTCCTCCACATCATGTATTACAAGGTTCCTGTCAGTAAACCGCCACCGAAACATTCGAACTAACGCCATTCCTTATCAGGTGAATATGTCCTTGAAATCTTAACCCTCTGACATGAAAACAGCTCGTGGATACAATCAATACGCCGAAGACCGACCTCGGGTCGTAGGGAATCATACAATGATCTGATAGGACACACGTTCCGTCTCTACTTGATTAGCCTCCATGCGGTATACATGCGGTAGGACTCAGGTCAATGTTCCATCCCCTGAAAGTAGAGGTTCGTGCCCTTATACCTCAACCTCATCCGAAGTCACTCTACTTGGCTTCCATGCTACTTGTCGCTTTGGAGCCGTGACATGCTGATAATGAGGCTTATCCATAACTGTCTTTCGAAAGTACCTAGGTAGCTATTCTGGATTATCGAAGAAGTCTTTGTATCGTCGAGGTTGATACATCCAATGTTTGAAGAGTAGTTTCCACTACGTGGCAACGCCCTGGAAACAGGTCGGCTGGAACAGAGTACCCATTTCAACATGCCTGATTCGGTTAAAAAGTGCGTGATTAAATCTGACTCAAAGGCCGCGAGTGCCCCGGTGATTGAAAAGTCGTCTAGTTGTGGAGATCCTCACACGGTATGAAGTGACTGTACTGAGCCACCCCAACCACCGAGCCTCTCACGGTTTGGGCCCGAATTTGACAGAGAAAAAAATCGGTCATGGAAATCGCATATGCTGACTTTTGAGTGCAAAATATAGTCGTTTATTCTGCACCGTCGTGCGTGTGGGCTGCATTCACAGATTTTAATACGGCGCGATGGCCGTATGGCCTCGTCAGGGCTGATCGCCCCAAGTGCGGGCACTCCAGGATGACTCCAACGCCGCGATGATAACAACTTTCCTCCAGTCCCGGTCAAGGGGCTGTGGTTTTATTGAGTAATAGAATGTTCAATACTGCGACAGAGCGTCAAGTGGATACGGATGCGCATCGCCCTATGCACCGAGTCAATCTTATCGATGCGAGACTATACCTGAATCCGTTCAGTTTCCCCGTGGACATGTCTTGCTGTGGAGAACTCGGAGTATCTGAGAGAATGAGGTCCCCTCATACAGGTGGCTACAAAGGATTCCAAGGTTATAAGTACCGGTGTGGTGCTCTCAACCTGAGGACTGATTCCCAAGACCCTGTACAATCATCTTTCCATTGGAGCTCCTCGAACACATCATGTCTAAGCCCAACATCATCTATATCATGGCCGATCAGATGGCAGCACCCATGCTGTCATTGCATGACAAGGAGTCTGTCATCAAGACCCCCAACCTCGACAAGCTGGCGTCCGAAGGGGTGGTGTTTGACTCCGCCTACTGCAACGCGCCGCTATGTGCGCCCTCACGCTTCGTGATGGTGAGTGGCCAGCTGCCATCCAAGATCGGGGCCTACGATAATGCGGCCGATCTGCCCGCGGACACGCCGACGTACGCCCATTATCTACGCCGCGAGGGCTACCATACCGCGCTTGCAGGGAAGATGCACTTCTGTGGCCCAGACCAGTTGCATGGCTATGAAGAGCGCCTGACTAGTGATATCTACCCCGGTGACTATGGATGGTCAGTCAACTGGGACGACCCGGTGAGTGATGTCTACATAGGAATCATATTCACCCTACCTTGGGGCAGAAGTGAGCATTGACTAACAGGTATTCTTTAAATAGGAAGTTCGTCTCGACTACTATCACAACATGTCCTCGGTGATGGAAGCTGGCCCCGTGGTGCGCACCAACCAGCTCGACTTTGACGAAGAAGTGATCTACAAGTCTCAGCAATATCTCTACGACCATGTCCGTCTTCGAAACGATCAACCATTCTGCCTGACTGTGTCCATGACCCATCCGCATGACCCATATGCTATGACCAAAGAGTATTGGGATATGTACGAGGATGTTGATATCCCGCTCCCCAAGAGCAAAGCTGTACCCCACGAGCAGCAAGATCCACACTCGCAGCGCGTGCTGAAGTGTATTGAGCTATGGGGCAAAGAGATCTCCGATGAGCGTATTCGTGCAGCTCGCCGGGCGTATTATGCTGCCTGTACCTACGTCGACACAAACATCGGGAAATTAGTCAAGACATTGCAAGACACTGGTCTAGACGAAGACACCATCATTGTCTTTACAGGAGATCATGGTGATATGCTCGGAGAACGCGGTCTCTGGTATAAAATGACGTGGTTCGAGAACTCTGCGCGCGTTCCTATGCTGTTCCATTCGCCCAAGAGATTCTCCCCGAAGAGAGTGCCCGAAAATGTTTCGACTCTAGATATATTGCCCACTTTTGCCAGTCTTGCAGGCGCAAAACTTCTGGGCGACCTACCCTTAGATGGTGTATCGCTCGCGCCTTACTTGACTGGAGAGCCAGGTGAACGTACCGACACCGTTTACGGTGAATATATGGGCGAGGGCACCCAAGCTCCTCTCATGATGATTCGTCGAAACCGTTGGAAATTCATTTATTCGACAATTGACCCCCCAATTCTCTATGATCTGGTTTCCGATCCAAAGGAAACCCACAACTTGGTGTCCGGGCTGGCTGTTCCGTCGTGGACAGCGGAGGTAATCAAGCCTGCCAATCCAGCAGGACTGCAGGCTCAGGAACTCACTCCAATTGATACTCCGCGTACATCCCCCGTTCCATCGACAGCGTACCCATTCCCGCCTCCTTGTGAGATCGGCCAGATGAAAAGTTCAACCTTGCCAGATACAACGGAGCCAGTCGAACTGCTGTCATGGTTTATGAAAGAGGTCAACCAGCGATGGAACTTTGAGGCAATTCACCAAGATGTGCTCAGATCGCAGCGCCGCCGCCGACTGGTTTATTCTGCGTTGATCAAAGGAAAGATTGCTGGCTGGGACTGGGAGCCTCGCGTTGATCCCAGCACTCAGTATGTGCGCAACCACGGAAAAGGTATTCTCGACGATGTTGAAATTCTCTCTCGCTGGCCGCGTGTGCTAAAGGAAGCTGCCATTGAACACGGAATGGGCGTTTAGTCAGTTTTTAATACTCTCCTTAGACGGGTATGAAGTCAACCCGAATCACATTATACTTGCTATCCATGATTTGTAAATTTTATACTCCAGTCTGTTATCCTCATCTAGAGAACCAAATCTCTGCGCGACTGGGAATATCTTCTTCATCCATGATTACTCAACCTTGCCGAATTCTTCTAAGGGTCAAGCTATCTTCAGCAATCAGGCTTTGCCCTACAAGAAAATGTTGACTGCCCGAGAAAGATGAGAGACCTCGGAAGCGGGGGAAACAATCTATCCAAAGAAATCACTACATTGACAGAGACGTATTCAAGCAGTTACTTGCTCCCATTATGTAAGTACTTCCACCTATATTGTGGTAGAGCACGGAGACAGATCAAACTTGGAAGTTATATGTAGCAAACTCTTGCTGACCGCGAGACAAAAGCTTCCAAGCCTGGACTCGAGAGGAAACTTGGAATGATGCAAGTATATAGACACGTTCTTGTCCAGAAAAATCATATTGACTATCAAAAATTGTACGACAACTTCATCGATAAGCAATCTGTACAGCGTCCCAGCCATTCAAGATCTGAGACCGTTGCTTCCACAGATAAATACATTTCCAACAGTCCCAGTTGCAAAGCTCTCGAGGATAGACATAACAGACACCTGTATTCGAAGTTAATGTGTTAGTAAGATATCAGTACGCTTCAAACAGTCAAAATGGGCCGCCAAACTCACATAAGTACCGGGACCAAGGAAGAAGAGCCCTATAAGGATCAGGAACACGTTGAAAACAAGATCAAGCCAACCAAGGAGCCCCATCCCATCGTATATCACTGAGCCGTGATCAGCACGGCGCATATGGAGATTTGCTACGCCCCAGAAAATGAAACCGAAAAACGATCCGAACACGGCCCCCATGATCGACAGTAGATCCGAGAAGAACGGGATCACCTCTGCAATTACCCAGGCAAATACCCACAGCACTAGCAGAATGCCGGCCCAAGATGCCCAGCCAACAAAGGTGTGACTGCTGACGTGACGGGTATTATCGAACACACGGAAGAAAATGAAGCGCGCGGACACCGATGCGTAAAGGACGCCAAGAAAGATCAAAGTCGGGACCATGAAGGAGAACGAGATCTTCATGTATAGATCATCTCCGAGCGAAGAGATTGCCATTGAGGTGATGTATTGACCTCCAATGAAAGCGTAAACAGTTGCACCGACAATCGTGAACAGAACAATCTCAGCAATGGTCACTGCAGTCACGGACTTCCAGAACTCCTGAGGATCCTTCATCTCGGCAATCAGACTAGGGAGGGTAATCTGACCAATAAAGGTGAAGCTGATGTTCAAAAACGCACTCAAGCCTGTGACGAACGAGGTATCACTGGCGGGTACAAGCAGTACGATTGGAGCTGCGTTTTCCGACTTCCAATTGTATGGATGGGATTCGATTCCCGAGAAAATCACGACTAGCACGATCGAGACGAGTGTGAAAAAGGCAGATACCGCCCCTAAGCGAGCGAGAGCGCGAAATGTTCGGGGGAGAGACCCAAAGAAAGAAACAATCGCTGTGATGAATGAGAATGCAATCGTGCACATTGCATGACCGGACATTGTGTTTAGAAATTGCGCCCCAACAAGACAATGCAGGCCCTGATAGAGAGTTAGCCACCTTCGACGATCCAAAGAGTACGATGGTTACCTGAATGAATGTGTTGTTCAATAAAAACATGAACGCCGTCGCATACCAAGCCCACTTAGAGTCCCAGAACAAGACTTGACCAACGTCACAGATGTCACGTAGTTCGGGATATCGTAGGCAAAGTCGCCTTTTTCGATTAGTATAGGCCTGTCTGTAGTGGAATGTACGTACCATATCGTGAGTGAGGTGTACAGAACAATCAATGCGACAGCCACAGTGAGGATCAGGCCAGGAACAAGGCCCAGAACAGAGTATGACCATGGAAATGACATTATTGCGATACAGATGTATTCAGAGAATAGGAGTGCGGCGGTCTGCTACAGGTTAGGAGTAGTTGGGAGTGTGAGCTCTCTGGGTACCTTTTGCCAACTGCAAGTCCGATATTGAATCGCATTGATTGACTCTGTCTCTCCCTCGCTGACTGACCCCCGTCGATGGCCCTGTTTCTCCAGATCCGGTGCCAGCGATGTGCCATCTTGGCCGTTTGTATCTTTGTCAGATAAGTCCTTCTTAGGAGCCGACGAGCTAAGATTGAACTTGGAGTGCATGGTTATTCGTAACCTCGGGTCAATGCAACATATGAAGGCGATTTGAAATAAAACGGCTCTGATCACCATGGATGTGTATTAGCATAAATACCTAGGTATCACGAGGGCACGCCAACAAGATCAGAATATACTAGGTACCACCAAGGCACCCAAACCAGAGATACCTGGGTATCGACAAATGATTTTCAGAGTCTGGTGGCGTAACTTGAACTTCCTATATTCATGAATGGCACTTTCAAATTTCGAAAATCGGCAGTAGAATCTTTGGAGCTTCCCTTGAAACAACCTGAAATGAGATGCCCCGAAGCCAGAGGAAGCCACCGGTATTTAACTTAGCCCTATGGTCTTATCACCACTAGACTAGTCGCCTAGATAATGAGGCCTGTCTCAAGGATGCTCAACCCCGCAAATGCCCTGGTATCATTCCTAGAAGGGGTAAACGTTCCCCGTAGGCCTTTCCGCTCCACGCCCCAGGTACCGCAAACCCCGAGATTCCCAGAGATAGGCCCAAGGACACGCTGCAGCGTGCTTGTACTGATAGCAGCACCACATCTGTCACCGAGAGAGTATATCCCGGTGATTTGGGATCAATTCAATTAGGCCGCGCTCTAGTTACACACTCCGTACAAAAATATCAAGACCAGAGTGAGAGGAGAGGAAGTTGAAGAATACGGCGTTCTGTATTTGCTGGGTATTTGCTGTACGAAAGTAGTCGTATGGGTAAAGGTATTACTCAGTCACTCTTGGCGGGAGATTGAGTTGCTAGAGGAAATGGTCGTATTTACGGATTTACGATGTAAAATACCAATAGTTTTGACGACTGTCTCTCTATAGTTGAGTTGCAAGGGTAGTCCATGTACAAAACAAAACACACGGCTTAGACAACAATATAGCCTGCCCAGGTGTGCGATGTCATGGGCTCAGGCCCGGAAAGAAAACGGGACAAACGGGAATCATGTCTTTATACAAGTCTTTGCAGACATGTACTACGTGTCAAACCTTGGAACCAGGGTATCCCGAGGTTGTAGTATGGACAAGAGGTCCTGCGCGTGAGGTAATGTTGAAATGGCTGAGAGCCTCATGTCAATCAAGTTTGAATACAGCCCATCAACGTTAGCCATGCAGCAGGGTAATATTGGAACAACCAAGATAAACAATCAAGACAAAGCCGGAATCGGAGGTGACATTAGACTCGCTTTGAAGAACAGAAACGTAAGAACAATGCACAATCGACCATCGAGGTCCATCTATTCAAGCCGTCGAGGCGTATGTCAAGTCTATTGACAGAGCCCAAGACAGAGAGCATCTGCCCGAAATATGTGAAAAGCCGAAACTAAGTACAAATGCCAACGCCTGAAACCACGCTGACAGATCACGAAACGCCAAAGAATCACAAGGTATAGAGCACATAGGGAAAGGAACACAATTCGCTAAGATCACATACTGAGCATGCTCATTTGTCGGCGCATGGGGTTGGGAGAAAACGCGTCTCCATCTTCACTGGGGCCGATGCCACTATCTGTCCCGGCCAGCCCGGCATCGGTATCAATGTCCCATTGCTCGTCTTCGTGGTCGCCGTCTTCGGCGTCAGCATCACCGTCCCAGCTTTTCTGAATCGCGCCCCGGGTGTTCCAGCGCAGAGCGCGCTGGACACTGGTGAACCATTCGTTGTTGTTTGAGACGACTGTTGGGAAGGGGTACTGGCTGGCCTCGACGGTGACGTAGTCGCCTTGACGGAGCTCGACACGGCCCTTGCCATCGAAGGAGCAGTAGGCCGTGGAGCGGGAGGAGTTTGGAACCGCGATGCGAAGGAGGTGGGAGTCTGAAAGGACCATCGGGCGGAAAGAGAGGGTGTGAGGGCATATGGGGGTGAGGAGGATCCCGGGGATAGAGGGGTGCATGAGAGAGCCACCGGCAGAAAGGGAATAGGCCGTGGAGCCCGTCGGGGTCGAGAAGATGCAGCCGTCCGCCTGAACAACGGTGAGAAGGTCGTCATCGGCGTACAGCTCCAGGTTGGAGACGTAAGGCGACGGGCCGCGGTCGATGACGAGCTCGTTCAGCACTTCAAACTGCTCGCCTTCTTCCACGGCATTCAGCTCTGCGCTTTTGCTCCGGTCTCGGCGGAAGACGGTGCAGGTGAAGCGCATGCGTAGATTTACGCGCATGCCGACCTCGCCCATCACGGCGTTGAGCTGGGATTTGTGGTCGGAGAATTCGAAGTTTGTGAGGAAGCCTAGGCTTCCCAGCGAGAAGCAGAGGACGGGTGGTACCACGCGCTGGAAGAGCCACGAAGTGAAGAGCACGGTGCCGTCGCCGCCGAGGGTGAGCACCAGGTCGAATTTGTCCGGGGAGGACCAACACAGGTCCGGGGTCCAAAAATGGAGCATTTGGGCGAACAGGGGATCTTTCTGCAACAGGCCGGGCGCATCGAAGCGTTTGGAATTTCGCAGTTTCGCATCGACATATACATTCACTCCGAGTTTGCTGCCGTATCGGGGGGTGGAGAGCAGCCACTCGGCCACTTCTCGCGTTAGGTGCACCAGGCTGTTATCCCGGGCCTTGGTGACAATCATGACGTTCCGGACGGCCCTTTTGATCGGTCGGCGCTGCAGCTGCTTCGACACTTCTCGCACGCCGGTCGCCGTCTGAACCAGGCGGGAGTGCGAAAGCCACTCATCGTCGGCGATTTCCTCCAGGACCTTCTTAATATTCACGGCGTCGTCAAATCGCTGATGGAAATAACATGGGGATTGCAGCACCAGTCGTGCAGTGGCCGGCGACCTATCGAGATACCCGCTCAATTGGAGGTTGGACAGCGCCGTTGAGAGGGTTTGGGAGGCATTGCTTCCGCGTCGGCGATCGTCGGAGGGCGGGGAAGCCTGGGATTTATTTGCCAACATGTTCGTCAGGGAACTGGTGGAAGTGTTGGGATTGCTGATGGTCAGCGGCCGGGAGGCCAGCGCCTTCAGGATCGTCTGTCGTGGGATGCAGTCGGTTGACAGGGCCTTTGATCTGGGGTTGAGCGGCCTCTGCAGGGAGCGGAGGGGTAACGGCCAGCCGGTCTCGTCGGTGGACGGGCTCTGTGACAGGGAATCTCGGCGGGTTTCTTCTATGGCATATTCACGAAAGGCCGGCACCTTGTCAGAGCGTAGTTCAGCCATTTGAGAAGAGTCAGACTCGGAGGTATCGGGGATTGCGGATCCGAGTCTCGAGATCGGTTTCCCCGTGGGTCTAGCGTCTTCGGATAAATGTGAAGGGAATCTACCTACGTAGGTAAGGAAAGACTACTCCATACTAAGTACAACGGAAAGGACTCGGTTCGCGACGATCCGTCCAGGGATGAATTCCACATGCCAACAGCCCTGCTACAGCCTATAGGTGCACTGAATAGAATTCCATGGATATGCGAGATACGCGAGATATGTAAGATGCGGATCGCCTAATGCGGCCGTCTATTACGGCGATGACGTTTACTTAGTCTGTCTACCTTCGAATTGGCAGTGGGAGTGGCCTCATCTGCGAGAATGTCGCTTGAGTCCTGGTCGGACAGAAGTCAGGGCCCTGACAGTGCGACCTGTGCCGTAGCACTGCCGCGTCCCCGATCCCATGGGGATGGTCGCTCTAGTACTCCGTATATCATGTTGAGAGCGGTAGGCGGGCGGGTCGAGACACTGGTCCATCACATCGGATCACGTCGGTCTTGCGGAAATTGTCAACCGATCCACCTCAGATCGAGTCAAGCTTGTGGGCGTAGTCGCTGTAGATTTGGTCCTCGGCAGTCTCGCGGATAAACGCGTTCACGCTGGCGGCATTCTCTCCTTCTCCCATAGCAACGTCGCCGTCGTGAGCGCCCTGGCAGATGGACAGCGCCCGGGCCCGGACCAGCTCCCAGGTATCGAAGTCGAATCGGCCCCGGCTCTCGTTCAGCAGAAGGTGGCCCTTGGAGGAGAAGGCCAGAACGTGCAGGGAGACGACGGACTTTGCGGCGGCTGGACCGGGGTTTTGCACGATGTCGCCGGATGTAGTTACACCGAGCAGTGCAGCGGAGAGGGTCATGGATAGAGGAATGGACGCGGAAATCATGGCGAGCAGGCCGGCATGCAGGAGAGCCGGGAGAAGGGTCAGGTACTACAGACATTAGTTTCACGCGTCGAGAGTGCAACATCACAGATGTGATACTCACCGAGTCACCGCGTTCCACGTTCTCTCCTCCAACAATGTTCAAGGTCAGGACCACGCCGCGGCGCGGGAATCCTTTCTCCCGTCCCAGCACGAGATTTCCCAACACAGACTTCAGGATAGTTTCCGTAGCGCGTTCACCGACACCGCCAGTGGTGGTGCCCGGCTTGATGAAGATTTCCACGGTGGCATCCTCGGGTTTCAATGCGTCGCGACGGCCGGGGAGCTCAACGGGGCCATTGACGGCGCCCAGGATATTATACCCGGTGGCGGGGCATTTGTAGCTCGCTGAGCCATCGGCACGACTGAGGACTGAGAGAGAAGCTGTAGGGCCAACCATTGTGACGAAGAGGCTGTTGGGCAAGCGTCCGGCAGAGTTGGTGATTTTTTATCGATCTGCGGGCCGCGTTTTGATTGGCTGTTCTGCGGTGTACTGGGTACCTCCGTCATCTATCGTTGCCCAGCTATCTGCGAAGTACCAACTACCTTGAGTGACTCCCTGTTCTCTGAGGCATTTCGTTGCTTCACTTGTCTTTCACTTGTCTTTCACTCCGAATCCCAATATGCACTTGCACGCTTCATCAGATCCTTCCAAGGTTCATCCGATAGGCTGACGCTGAAATGGACGTGTCAGACCCAGGATGCCGAGCTCTTGGAAGAACAATCCGTCCAGTCAGACCGCATTGGCAACGCGGCTGTGCTAGCCAGCGATGCTCTTCCCTGAGCCCAGGATGAGCGCCATTCAATCAGGGGATTCTATTACAATCTACACTATTCTCCAAACGTCAAACCGAGTGTCACCCCTCTGATATGCTGTCAGCCTCCAGATCGACGGTACTTTGAAAGTACTCGTACACAACACGGACTCGAACGCCACGAATGCCCAGAAATCAGTGGGGGGTGGCTTGAACCCCAGACTGGGATGTCCAATCCCACACGAGGGTCCCATCGCCCGAAGTCATGACTGGACTACGGACATACATTAATAGACCTCATCAGGGAACAAGGCTGCCAAGCATTCCGCCTTTGGCTTCCCCAATGATCGCGCTCACAGAGGCTAGGGTCGCCCCCTCACTACTTGGCCAAGTCCCCTCTTTGGGAGATGCCAATGTTGGAGTGAAGCCCGGCACATTTAAATCCGGCTTGTGCGGGCTTCCCTTTCTCTGCTCCATCCTCCGTCTTCACTTTGGGTGCGGACAGTCTCTTTCATTGCCCAAGAACTACGGTTGTCTATCCAGTGGAAAAGAAAAACCAAGTAGTCTAGCTTTCTCAAGGCTCACTATCTTCCCGTCACCACGATCTCCTATTGAATGGGCGTAGAGACAATTCTTGATGTCGAGGAATCGACAGAACCTCCTATATGTGGTTATAAGGAACCCTCCAATGCGACAAGCCACATAAATTCTCAGCCCTGTGCTACTGGGGAAAAGTCTATCTCGCATACCCAGGACCCTGCACCTCAGAGCCAACCAGACAAAGAGCCGGGCCACAACGCCCATCTTATCGAACCAAAAGAGCTTGCCTCGTCGCTCGAAACAGACCTTCGGTGCGTAATCGGTGAACTCCATCCATGCTCGGTCTAACAAAACCTCCAGAAATGGACTGTCAGGCACAGAAGCGGTCATCCGCCTCCAGCGCGATGGTCCGAATACCGTGCGTGAAATGGAGAGTGTCTCCGTCTGGGGGATACTGCTAAGGCAGGTATCCAACAGCTTGACTTTAGTATGTCTCCTCGGAAGACCTGCTCCACATTCTCTAATCGAATAGGTCCTTCTCATAACAATGGCTCTGTCGTTCGGAATCGACGACTACATCGAGGGCGGCGTTATTACCGCAGTGATCGTGCTGAACATCGTCGTAGGGTGAGTCTTCCTCCGCGGGGTGTGACTTGAGACTAAACCAATCAGCTTCGTACAAGACTACCGTGCCGAAAAGACAATCATGTCACTGCATCGACTTTCAGCGCCAGTCTGCAGAGTCATTCGAGATGGCCAGCTTGCGTCCACCAAGGCAGAATCACTGGTCGTCGGCGATATCGTTCAGCTGGCGGTTGGAGATATCGTCCCTGCCGACTTACGCTTGTTCGATGGCATGAACGCTTCAATGGACGAGGCCCTTCTCACGGGGGAATCCTTGCCCATCCTGAAGACCCCGCATATCACTTTGGAATTGCCTGATATCCCCATTGGTGACCGCACCAATATGGCCTATTCGGGTTGTAGCACGACCCAGGGTCGAGCGACAGGGATTGTCGTTGCCTGTGGAATGAAAACGGAGGTTGGAAAAATCGCCCAGCTACTTCAGACCCAGCCTAGCTCTGGTGAGTCCACACGGCTCATGAGATGGATCAACGGAATCAAAAGGTTTTTCATGAACATATTGGGTCTCGTCGGAACGCCACTACAAGTCAAACTGAGCAAATTCGCCCTTTTGTTGTTTGCGCTTGCTATACTACTGGCCATCATTGTCTTCTCGGCTAGTAAGTGGGATGTCCAGGGCGAGGTCCTCATCTACGGAATTTGTGTTGCCGTTGCCGTGATCCCAGAATCATTGATTGCTGTCCTCACGATCACAATTGCCGTCGGAACCAAGGCAATGGCTCGGGGTAATGTGATTGTCCGAAAGCTCCAATGTCTCGAGGCTGTAGGTGGCGTAACCAACATCTGCTCTGACAAGACTGGGACTTTGACCCAGGGAAAGATGATTGCTCGGTCTGCATGGATTCCCGGTGCCGGTACTCTGACTGTGAGCCAGACGACGGATCCGTTTGACCCGACCAGCGGGCTTGTCCAGCTTGATGAAATTGACTGGAGCTCAACTAAACCCATCGAGGAAAGCCCTGCCCTGCATACATTTCTCCAAGCCATCTCACTTTGCAACCTATCAACTGTCCATCATGACAATGGAATTTGGAGCGCCGTTGGCGAGCCAACCGAGGTCGCGCTACATGTACTGGCCATGCGGTTTGACTTTGGAAAATCATCTGTGTTGCAGAGACGCCAGCTTCAGCTGAAGACAGAGTATTCGTTTGACTCTTCCATCAAGAAGATGACCGTTGTCTATCACAACGCACAGGAGATGATCAACGAGTGTTACACAAAGGGAGCACCAGAGACTATCATTCCCGCTCTCCGCATTAGTGAAACAGAGAAGCGCACTATCAGAGACACGGCGGACCGAATGGCGGGCGAGGGACTCAGGGTTCTATGCATTGCATACAAAATATCACCCACCAGCGACGATTCCCAAGTCTCATCACGAAGGGCCGCCGAATCTGAACTTAACTTCGGGGGCCTCGTGGGCTTATATGACCCCCCTCGTGTTGAAACAGCTGCGGCAGTGCGCAGGTGTCAAATGGCCGGTATCACAGTACATATGCTTACTGGAGACCACATCAAAACTGCAACAGCAATTGCCTCGGAAGTGGGGATTCTAGACCGTGTTGCAGCTGACGTCAAATCAGGGAGACTTGTCATGGCAGCGGACGAGTTTGACCGATTGACCGATACTGAAGTCGACGGCATTGAAGATCTTCCTCTCGTGATTGCCCGATGCAGCCCTGCCACTAAGGTCCGCATGGTAGATGCTATGCATCGCCGTGGGGCATTTTGCGTCATGACGGGTGATGGCGTGAACGATTCACCCGCTCTGAAAAGAGCCGATGTCGGCATTGCCATGGGAAAGAACGGCAGTGATGTTGCCAAGGAGGCTGCGGACATGGTTTTGACCGATGACAATTTCTCGTCTATCGTCAAGGCTGTTGAGGAAGGAAGACGTCTGTTCGACAACATTCAAAAGGTACGCGTGCTTCAATGTATTTTTCAGCCACCACTGACATCTGATTTAGTTCCTCATGCATCTACTCATATCAAACATTGCTCAAGTCATTCTACTTCTGATTGCTCTCGCATTCAAAGACGCAGGAGGAGACTCGGTATTTCCGCTCTCACCTTTGGAGATTCTCTGGGCAAATCTTGTCACCTCATCATTCCTAGCCGTCGGTTTGGGACTCGAGGAAGCCCAGCCCGATATCATGTACAGACCTCCACATGATCTGCGCATCGGTGTCTTTACCCGCGAGCTGATCATGGACAAAATGATCTACGGTACATTCATGGGATCACTGTGCCTGGTCTCATTTGTCTGCGTCATTTACGCGGCCGGAACAGGGACTTCCTCTCTCGGCGATGGTTGCAATCAGGGATACAATCCTAGCTGCGACGAGGTATTTCGTGCGCGAGCCACCACGTATGCCACTCTTACTTTCCTGCTGCTCGTTACTGCGTGGGAAGTTAAGCATTTCTCGCGGTCTCTGTTCAATATGGATCCGATTCGATATCCGAAGGCCTTCTCGGTGCTCCCCACCGTGTGGAATAACCGGTTTTTGTTCTGGGCTGTGCTTGCTGGCTTTGTAATCGCCTTCCCAGTGATTTATCTTCCAGTCATTAACAAAACAGTTTTCAAACACCAGGCCATTGGATGGGAGTGGGGAGTTGTGTTTGGCTGCACCCTTGTTTACCTGGCACTGGTTGAAAGCTGGAAGGCTGTCAAGCGAGCCTTTGGGATTGGCAGTGGACAGAATGCTACTCTCACCCTTGAAGACGCCGAGATGAGGGCAGGATTAGGTATAAGCACCCCACTCTCCGTGAGTGCCAATGCCAGTGTTGAGCTCAAGTAGCCGGCATGGGGTCTGTGACACTTTCAACAAGCATGAACGTGAGGCATTCAACATGCTTCCGCATTTTTGATCATTATCCGTTTGTGATTTCATCTTGTTCTAGTTTTGATGTATATCTTGAGGACGACACAAACACCCAGTTTTCAAAACCACGTTAGTGATTTTCTCGCCGTTGGCCACTACTATCCGTGGCCTACCTAGGTATCACTCTGTAATATTTCCTTTCCCATAGTCGTCATTCACACAGAGCTCCGAGTACTGGCGCTTTGGAAAATTAATATGACCCTTTACAAATAGGGGTCAGTATATGTAGTCCACCTCACTGTCGCTATCTATGATACTATTCCCATGCAAATGGTGGTATTTGAAACAAAAGACAAGTGTACCTAGTACAATAAAGGTACGCAACTTGTTCCATCCATACGCGAACAACCACAGGGACACGGGTAACTTGGGTCATACTGCCACGAGAAATAAGGATCGGTCTCGTTGGTGAGAGCATCCCCTATTAATCGTGACTGACTCGGAAGGTCCAAGGAGGCTTCAAAGACATCCCATGAAGAAATACGGATCTGCCCCCAGCCCTTCTGGATGAGTGTATTGATTGAGGTCCCGTACACGTATTCTCGAAATCCCGCCCACCGAATTGCCGAAGCACACTTTCTCTTCGTTAGCTACTCATCCCTCCGTCAATGGCAGTTATCATACCATCGGACAGCTCTCGACGTTTGTATAAAGCGTTAGGTCGGCGAACGCATGTTGTGCCTCTGACGCAGTCATACGGTATTTACCGTCGGGGTCGGTCAGAATCCCTGTGCAATTCGTGATGGCTGCAATTTCTCCTATAATGAGGAGCCTCACATTAGGATATTTGATGATGATGCACTGTTTCCTCTTACCATGGAGAGTGGGATTGCCGGTTTTTCCATTCTCATTGACACCCATGCAAACAAGTTCACCTGCGTCGGAGGCCGTATGGTTGACAATGACCGTCCCGAAGGCAGCAAAGGGGCAAGGGGAGCCATTGATCTCGCCCAAGGCTTCATTTGCTAGGCGAATCCAGTGGTCTCGAGTCTGGGATGTGACTCCATTGATCGTCAAGTTCGGGGCCGGAAGGACTGCTGCCAGCGCTGTGGGGAGAAATGTGGCCAGTAGGATAGAGACACAGGCTAAAGAACGCAGGTTTGAAGTCCTGGAAGTGCAAATCATTATCCGAGTGAAGGCGTAGCTAGTACAATGGCGAGATGTCAAGTGATTGATGAAATGTAGCGTCGGCCGAGAAGAAACGAATTGATTGTTTTGATTGTTTTGATTGTTTTCGCGCTTATCAACACTACACCCCCGGGCATCACCTTCCAACTCCAAGGTTCCCAGTGGCACTCTAGGGCTGATCCCAGTTTCATAACGAGTCACATTCAGCAATGCGTTCCAGTCCTGGGTGTGCCCCTTGCAAACAGCGAAAAAAGCAACGTGATCTACGGACGCCCATCTGTGTGAGTTGCGAACGCAACTTTCTCACCTGTTCGTGGCAGCACAGAGGCTCTTTACAAAACCATAATCGTGGGGAGGGACACCATACAGATAAACCACCTCATGGTGATCGCAATAGCAGATCAGCATCCACCGAGGTCGGCATGACCACGTCTTAACGCCTGGGATCTTTGCCAGCGGTACCTGGACCCCATACTCTCAGGAGTTCAGAGTCAATGTTCCTCTTCACCCACTTCGGTTCATTGAGTGTACAGTCTCAAGGACTGAATCCTTTACTTCGAATGTTGGTAACAGCCGCCTTGGAATATGACATGGTACTCCAGGCTGTGCTTGCATTGAGTGGCATTCATTATCTGCAAGGCGGACAACAGTCATACTTCAAGGCTACATTGGAGCACCAGGCACTTGCCCTTAGATCTGTAAAATACGCGCCAACAAATTTTGCGAAGTCTGAAACCAACCTGGCACTTCCTTTGACATTGTGTACACTGCTCTTCAGCCTAACGGAGGTATACCTGTTCATTCCCTGGGCGGTGGTGGTGGAATACTGACGAGCTTCGCTCGACTGGTCATTGGAGGGGACACTCGGGGCAATGTTTTCCACCACATCAAAGCCGTCAGACATATTCTACTGCCTGAGAACTCCTCCGAGATACCATCAAGCGATCCCGCGGCATACGCCCTTCCAACGTTGTTATTGAGCTTTCCGCATACCTTCTGACACTTTTGGTAATATCGAGCTCAGAATCAGAGGATCAGACTCTCGGCTACCTGAATTGGGCATTTGCCGAATTAGGAAATGCCGATGTTTTAACATCTGGTGTCCCCTTTGGGTGTATGTCCGGTCTCTTCTTTATGATTTCAAAATTCACCTCTCTGTCAAAAAAAGCATTTCTCCAGCGAGAAAGGTTTGATTTTGTTTCTCCGGAATTAAAGGCCACAAGAGCATCTAAAAGAATGATGAAGAAAAACGGTTATTGCATCCTCCTCGCATAACTCAATGATATAGAACTTTTTGAGGACCCTGCGCTGGTTATTACTTGGCTTATGCACAGATTCATGAACCCGGAACAAGAAAGGAGAAAAGACCAAGTTTCTACTATGGGAATAGACCAAAGGAACCCGTATATGGTTGCTTAGGTAAAATTGAGACGGTAAAGAGGTTCACCAAACGCAGTATCGCTGTGAACACCATATCACTTCTTTACCGACATGCACATTCAATGAATCCAGTCATCCACACGTTTACCGACAACCAAGTCCACATTCTTGTACGGCGCATGGATCTTCGCAGCCGTGCCCGGTTTGGGTCCTGATGGTCATTTTGAATTCTTCTATTTCCTTTCCTTCGATTGAAATATCACTGCCTGTCTTGGAAAATGCAAAATAGTCACGCTGCGAGGAAACCATGTCCACGATGCGTCTTAGCGAACGTTCAACCAGACCCTGTCGGGCAGAATGGAGGGATTACGCAGACCTCATGAATGCTGAAGCCAACCGGTACCGGGCTCTATCGAGGAATAAAGTGAATAGAAGTAGTTTCTGAAATGGGATTTTGGGTCTGAGCGGGTAGCGGTATAGCCATGTTGCACGAGGCAAGGTGGGATCGATGTTGGTAGATTGATAGAGAAGAGGATCTCTACAATTGCAAAGTTGGAGGCCGAATCTGATTATCGATATGTTATGGTACAGAGAACATGTCATCTGAGAGCACCATTTGACCTGGGTCAAAACCGGGATAGTCAAGCCAGAGCGTGTTCGAGCAGAGCCTGTTATCAAAGTCCAATCAATTGATGGCGACTGGCTACACTCATCAATCTCGCCAACATCCACAGATGACCCAGTGAACTCCGTGACTTTCTGCCTGCTTGTCGACTGGTGTAACAAAGGAGTCGATTCTCCAGGGATTGGTTCGTCACAGGCGCTATCTCCGGTCAGTGCTTCGTTGAAGATACTGGCTCCTGGGCTATATTTAGAATCTATCGATCTCGCTGCGGTTTGTTGGCTACGCGCCATGTACATCATCCAATCAGTATTGGGGGACTGTTTGCTTTGCGGAAAATGACACGGGTGACATACAGTTCAGTGCACAAGTCGGAGGGCACATTGTTCATCGCCCCAATCGTCCTTGGCACTCAATCCGGGAAATGGTCGGCGAGGTTGGGCCCCACTAACGCCAACAAGCCTGATAGTTCTTCCGCGGTACTGCCGCAAGGGGCTTCAGATCCGCCTCCTTCTCGGCCCATTGTTCATTTACGTGGATCCCATGCTCCACTGCGCTTGTCCAATCCGGTGGCATGCCCGTGAATTCGGCCCGGAACGCCGCGATCAGGGACATCCCACATCGCAAGGCCGCTCTGCCTGCGAACCAACTGCCATGATGATGGTGCTTGGCCAAAAGCCGCCTGGACTCTTCAGGGCAGGATTCCACGCATTCTCTGGCGTATTCATGAACTGCAGCGTGTTGGGTTGGCGAGTGCACCACGCGGAATAAGAAGGGCCGAAAGAGGCATTCGCGGAGGGCAAGCTTTCGCATTGAGATGAAGAGAGAGAGCTTGCGGTCTGTCGGTGACTCGGGAATATAGTGTAAGTACTCCGGAAGATTGACGGCCGCCAGGTATATCTGCTGGTCAAGATCAGAAGCTAGACGGCACAACTCTGCGTGTGGGGTATTGGGCCACCACGTGAAAATTCACCGGTGCTGTTTGAAAGGTCTCCAGAATGCGGTCGAAGATGCAGCGGAAGGAAATCTCGATCAGGTAGTAATACCAGGTTTCCCCAACGGCGAAGTCATTCCGAAGTGATATATCCTGTGGAGACGGGGGCGTTGGGAACCGGTTGGATGAGTGCAGAGTGGACAGGGAAGATCCGGGGAGATTCAGCTCTACACAGAGCTCACTGTCTCTCAGCCAGTATTGCATGCCGCTGCCCCTTTCGTTGTCGGATCGACTGACCGCTCGGATTTCCAACTGGACCAATATATGCGTTCTTCCAGATGGCGGGTGTCTTCGCTGGAAAATGGATTTCCCTGCTCAAAGATTTCCATTGCAGAGCAGACCGAGTGAAACTAATGCCATGCCTTCCAAGGTGAAAACGTATACATCTCATATACTCCGACCAGGAACATCGCTCGTAGATAGTCTGGAGAGCATACATCCAAGATGGCAATCCGCTTTCTCCCTGCCAGCATTTATGCATGAGATGATGCTTGTGTGCTGTTCTCCGATCGTTGATTTTCGAGGGGCTCATTGAACGGACGCGACATGACCCCCAGTGCGCACGTCAACAACTTTGGCTGTTAATCCACAGGAAAGCAAAGCCAGACGAGGTATGACTCACAACAATACTTGTAGGCCCATTCCAAGTGAGACCTCGCTTTGAAACTCGCTGAGCATTTTGCTTTAGGGCAGTATCATCGACCATAGGATTTTTCGGGTGAACGTTGGCCAGATACTCCCGAACATGCGACGGAATCTCTTCCTCAATGATGTACGCACCGCGTGCTTCTGAGGGAGGCGCTTGGGTCTGTGATGTGGGGGAACATTCAGGTACCTCTTCCCTGCTTTGCTCAAATATTGGCCAGTCCAACAAGCTAAGGCTGAAATTGAATCGAGGATTCGCTGCAGATAGTACCCCCGGACCGGGTCCTGGCAAGCTCGGGCTTGCAACTGCCTCCGCCGAGGGCGAATGATCCAGTCGACCGTCTTCCAACAGGGAGACCACATACTCGATCCGATCTAACAGTACCAGGCTAGCGGGGTCCGATCTTCAGGGATATCAGCACTCAGGTCTTGGCAGCGCAGAACTGAAGTCACAGTGATAGATTGGGCGTGGAGTTCTGATACGTGCATACAGCCTCGTGTTCCTTACAGAACCCACAACTCGGACGTGCATTGTCGCACCTGGTCTTCCGGCGTCGACAGAGCTGACAGGCTTTCACGGCACGCTTTCTTTCGAACATTCTGTGCGCACGGGGAGTTGCGGAAATGTACTTCGCGGGGGTATTCGGGAGTCGGCGATAACGGGTGGAACTCCGCCCCTACTGCGAGACCAAGTCGTTGACATGCAATATCCACTTATTCACTAACGGGGATAAATACCCCAAGGTTGCTCGATGTTCGAACTCACAAGTGATCCGTCTGGTACTCATTTTCGTCTCTGTGCTCAAGATGACTGTGATTAATGTGGGAATCATCGGCTGTGGAGAGATTGCACAGGTAGTGCACATCCCTACCCTAGTCTTCCTCGCATCCAAGTTTCGAATCAGCACCCTCTGCGACGTTTCTCAAGATTCCCTCGCTCATTGTGTCGCGAAAGTTCCTGGTACCAACCCACCAAAGACCACTACTTCTCCAGCCGAGCTCTGCGCATCACCGGACGTGAACCTCGTGCTGGTGATTAACAGCGACGAGTACCACGCGGAGCATGGGATTTTGGCCCTTCAGAATGACAAGCATGCCTTGATTGAGAAGCCAGTTGCGCTGAATGACCGCGATGCCGACGCACTGATTGAGGCCGAAAAGAAGTCCAAGGGAAAAGTGATGGTGGGCTACATGAGGCGGTACGCCGCTGTCTTCGCGGATGCCGTTCGCGAAATCGGAGGCATGGAAAAGATCCTTTACGTGCGAGTAAGAGGCATGTTAGCTCATCCGATGACATGGAAGAAGTTGACGATTCAACACAGACATCATTGGCGCCAACGCCACGTTTGTGGATCAGTCGGGCACTTTCCCTCGGAAATTTAGCGATTTCTCCCCAGAACATGCAGCCGACAAACAGGCCCGGGCGACGGAAATGGTCTCACAGGCGTTCCTTGAGGCTGGTGTCACCCACGAGCAGGTGCCTGCGACAATGTGGAGAGTCCTCGGCGGATTGGGCACGCACGACCTGAGTTTGATGCGAGAGGCGATTGGAACGCCAATCAAGGTTCTTGGTGCTTCATACCAATGGCCCTTCTGGAGGTGAGTTTGCAACCAGTCAAATCAGATCTCTAGGTCAAACTCTTACACTCTTGGCACGCAGTGCCTTGCTTCAATATGATGGATTCACGGTCGTATATGAATCCGGTGTGGATTCCATTCCTCGGTTCGATGCGCACCTGGAGGTATATGGTGGCAACAAGTCTGTGCGGGTCAACTACGACACACCTTATGTGAAGGGACTTCCCGTCACAATGCGGCTGCAGGAGAACATCAATGGTGAATTCCACGAGACATCTGTGCGAAAGACATATGAAGATCCGTACACACTCGAGTTCAAGGAGATCTACGATGTCATGGTTAATGGGAAGCCTGTGAAGACAACAGTGGAGGACGCCAAGCAGGACACTGCGATTTTCAAAATGCTCGTGCGGGCGGTTGCCAAAAGCACCGGCTAATGTCACTTGCGTCTTAGTCTTTTCGAAGATAATGGTATTTAAGTGGCGATTGAAACACAATTCGAATTCGAGACTGACAGGAACCTGCATAGAACCTTGGAACATAATCTTCGAGTTTATGTACTCCTTGGAGCACTGAGTGTGGGTGAGACAGATATCGAAGCATCGAAGTTGCCAGGTGTCCGGGTTGTGTTGCCTGGGTAAATATATACATATAGTTATGAGCCACAGCGGCGTCTCTACTACCTTACCGGAATGCAGCGCCACATATTGGGAACTCTCGTGAAGTGACGGGAATCGAAGTACTAGATCAAGACCACTGCATTGTAATATCATAATTTGATATTGTGTCAAGCCTCGGAAACGACGGGGGTCCGTACGGGGTCTTCATTGGGCGTGTTTCATAAGAACCAATTCCCATCCGACCCTGGACCGGGCTGCCACTGACATAGATCAACCCTGGAAGGTTCGTCATCCATCAAGACAATAAGACAATATCAATTCGCTTCGAATGAGAATTCAGTCCAGCGAATTTCACTTGAAATGACGTCATTATCGGATTGACCTGACTTCGGCCGAACATCCCCGTAGAATCCACCATTACCGATGTCCGGCTTCTGCTTTCTCTTACGATATAGGTTTCTTTTGCAGAACCATTCCGTGATATGGTTGTGAAATTGGAAGCAACTTAACAAAAAGTCTTACAATGACGATAATATGGTCCTTGACAGCCATCATTATTTTCCTTCAAGGTTTGACTTAAAAGATCCTAATCTGCGAATGACTGGTTTCGATTAAGTCTTGTGTTCCTGTCTCTTTGGGACAGAAGGTCCTAAAAGTCCAGCTATTGTTTGCCTCAATTGAAGGAAAGGGTGCGCAGCCAGTTCACCAGCAGTTTCTCTGTGACCTGGATGCCAGACAAGCATTCTTTTTGCGAGGTCCAAGAAGGTCTCTTTCTCCTCTCCCCCGAGAAATGAGACCGTGTCACATAGTTTGCGGTTAGGGATCAGGTCCCTGTAGAGAAAACGACCTAACACGTCCCATCAGCACGCGAATGATCCAATCGAGAGTCGAATTTCTGAATCACCTACTTCGTCAAAAAATGGTCCACAAAAATACTCTTCTGCGGTCTTGCATATCCTACCGTCTTCTCGTCTGACAGGGTTTGACCAGGAGTACTCCCGCATGTATTGATACCTCTGTATGATCTCGGGAGGAGGCGGACCCAGTAAGGCCATCATTTCGGCAATATGTTGTTTAGCATCATAGCGACCTTCTTTGTCATGAATTTGCACAAATAGCTCTTTACCTCCGATCATATCCCATAGCTACTCAGGTATTAGTGGATTCAATAGCATAAGAGAACAATAGAACACACCAGAACCCCAATATTCCAGATATCCACAGACATTTGCCATCCATTACCCAACACCACCTCTAGTGCCCGATAGTGGTCTGGCTGAATGGGCCAAACGCCCCAGTCGTCATCTTCCTCCAGTCTGGTCGCCATGCCAAAGTCGACCAGCTGTGGTATACTTCCCAGGCTTCTGGGTGGCCCGAGGTCATTCCGAGACCTCCCAGGTCGGGAGTCAACCTGTACCAAAAAAAAGCAACATGACCCCCTGCAACACGTGACTACATATATCCCTTCGTTTCATTTTGATGGTCGTATTTACCTCGCCAACTCACCCTTCTGTCACAATTTTCCCTTGAGCCCTCCGCCACCTCCCCTCCAAATGAACACCCTTCCCAGCTCAAGCCCAGCTGATTTCTTTATTGCGGCTGGTACTGTCTCGGTAATCCATGCGGTCGATGAAAACACAGTTGTCAAAGTCCGCCCCTCATCAGGGGATTTTGAAATTCAGGCTTACGATATTGAAATTCGCTGTTATGAGCGACCTGGAAACCATAAGCACATCCCATCCTGCGAAGTCACCGACAAAGGGCTCCTATTGGATCGCGGAACTTGTCTTCGGGGCATGATTCGGAGTGTCAGGGAGCCTGCCATTCCTTGGGCTTTGAAGCTTCGGTGGGCGCTGGAAGCCGCGGAAGGTCTTGCGTATATTCATAGCAAGGGAATTGTTCATGCTGACGTTGGCTGTCACAACATCATCGTGGATAATGCCAGACACATCAAATTTATTGATTTCGCTGGCTCCGGTATCGATGGCGAAGATCCTTTAGTCTGCTATGAATGGTGCAGTTACCAGCCGGGTAATGAAATTGGCATCTGTACGGATATATTCGCTTTCGGGTCAATGCTTTTCGAGCTTGAAACAGGGCGCGTTCCCTACAGCGAGCTGGAAAAGTCTCTTGATATGGGAAAGTTGATGACGGTTGTCGAGGAGTTATTCTCTGAGCAGAAATTTCCATATGTGGACACTCTGTCTTTCGCGTCTGTTATTTTGGGTTGTTGGAATGGCAAATACAACTCAATGGTGGACGTCCATCGAGATATTGCATGTTGTTTTGAGAATTGCTCCGAGTTGAATGTGAATCAGGCAACATTGGACACTGAATGAGGTTTCCTGGTGTGTTAGATATAAGTTTTCAATCAATTTGTATTACTCTCGAAGCCTTTCAGTACGGATACAAATTCTAAGCAGACTTCCGAGTTCTTGAACCACCATGTTTGCTAACATATACCTATGGAAAGAAAAAAGTACCCTCTAAAAACCTTACCTTAGATAGGTCAAGTATCACTACTAAATATCTTGTGTTTGAGATATCATGAAACATAAAACGATCGAATTCTACTACAGCCTGACACCAGAATTCGTCGCTAATGGGCCTGATAAGCGCGGGATTAGACACGCACAGGCCGACTCTAAGGCCAAAAGTGGGCCTCGGGAACCACCGTGATAAGCGCGGGTCTCCGAACCTTGAAACAACTCTTATGTCAACTAGACTTCCGCAATGGGCCGGATTGGGCCCGAGGTCCCGGCCCAGAGCCCAGCAATAGGCCCCCAATGGGCCCCCAGAAAAGCCCAGAAAAGCCCATTTCTATGCATAAACATGGTCTTGGCATGTATAACTCTGCTGATTAATAGGTTTTATGTACGATTGTTTTATCTTCCAAGTTGTAATCTTACAATCGACAACCTAGTATGGTGCAAATATATACCTAGTATACGTACCATAATCAGAAGAGCCTCGCGAACTTATCTACTTAGATATTACTGTGGTCTAAAGCTTTTGAATTAAGAGGATCCTATGATACTATAATGCTTCGCTTCGCTCCGCAATTACTTCTATAAGCGCCTTTTTTCAAGATACATTGAGATTATTAGTCCAAAAGGGTAGTACTTTCATACCTAGTACCTGATAATACTGCCAAGATCTGTATTATTTGCGAAAAGACTAATTATTGGCATGTTTGTAATGTTTGGGGCCCAATGGGCCCCCATGAAACCGCAGTGGGCTTTACCCCTGAGCCCAGAGCCCATTATAGGGTCCGAGGTCCGGCCCAAAACCCAACCCATTAATGGGCTGGGCTGGGTTGGGCTCTGGGCTTTGTGGGCCGCTGCGGAAGTCTACTTGGTCTTGTTACAA